GGCCATTTTGGCAGGGCTTAAATGCAAAAATATGCTTACTGGTGCTTTGTGACTAGCATCTGGGGCTAGTCCCAGTTGTATTCCTCAGTCTGCCAGGTTTACTGCAATAGCGTTGGCCCAAGGGATATGGGGTGGGTATAGTGGTGGGTCTTGCATCCCTCATTTTCCCACGTGGAACCCTGTACACTCATAATGGTGGTTTCTTCCCTGGAATTGTGGACACTTCTTCGCCTCTCCCACACACAATGCTCTCTTATCTGTTCTCTTCTGCTATGCTGTGTATCTGGGTTGTTGGGTTGTTGGTGCCTCCTGTCTAACCATGGTGAAACTGTGTTATAGTGATGTGATGCTGCTTCATGCTTGCTGGTTGAACGTAGCTACCTATATTGCATGAGCAGAAGGAGGCTTACTTGCATAAACAGAAGGAGGCCTAGCTTGTTCACGTGCCACATTGCTAACATAATCCTGTTCCCTGCTATCTGAAAAACTATTGTGCAAACAGCATTGCATATTTCTGCAAAGCTGTGTTCCACTGACTTGCTGTTTAGAGGTACCTCAAACCTTGGATATAATTTTTGCTTCGTTATTTGTATTTCTTCCTTATTTGCTGGAACCTTGGGTGTAATGCGTAGAAAAACAAGAAGAATAAGCTCTGCGTGCTCATTTTTGTCACACCAGATTCTAACCCAAGTTAAAAACACACACAGCTTTCAGATGTTGGGGCTTTGCTGAAGCTCCAAAAGAAAGGATCAGCTCCTGAGAAGAATGAAGGTTCTCTAGAACTTGTTGCTTCCTCTGCCCACATACCAATCTTTCTTCAATTGCTTTTAGGGAATCAATAGGTGCTGAAGCATGTAAAACTCTATTTCTCTCTCTTTGATTGCTGTGTTCAGCAAAGAATAGTTGGGAAGTGATGTTCTTGTCATAGCTTCCATGACTTACTGCAAGACATCATATGCAGGCCTGACGTGGAAATTGTCTCTGAGAGGTTGAAGTGGTGCAGAGCATGGTGGTCAGGTTGTCAACCCAAACCCACAATAGTGAGTATATCTGCTGTGGACTTAAAATATTTTCACTGATGTCTAGCTTGTTTTCAGGCACAGTTCACGGTTTGACCTATTACCTGATCCCACAACATTTATTGCAAGAACCGCTTTTTAAAAAAAATAAAAAGCTGCCTGTTAGGTACAATATTAATTGGAGAGCTTCCTCTGATCGCCCCCTGCTTTGCAGATTAGGCAGGTTGCTACCAAAGAGAAGGTACCTTTCTGTGCTTTCCACATGAATTTGGAGCATCTGTCTTTTAGGTGACAGGGAAAGTCCTTCATGCTTGCCCTGGTAGCTTCTGGTTAGGCTGCTAGTTTCTATTGGCGCTATGCTTTTTCCTGACAGCTCATATGTCTTTAGCACTGATTTGAATGCTGTTTTAGGCGTTATTATGAATTTTGTGAGCTGCCGAAATCCTGTAGCAGTAGCTGTGGAAAAGGGGTTATTAAAGAAGAAGACATAAGTATGATAAAGTGCATTGACCCAAGATTTATGCGAACTTCTGTGGCACGCAACACTTTGAGACTTTCTAGATTGAATTAATTCTTCGAAGAAGGGTATGTCCTTTGCTTTGTTAAGGCCATGGTACTAATCTTTGTTTCTGATGCATTTATTTTTCTTCCTTATGGGGTTGCAAACTTGTGCCATATTCTTTTTTTAAAAGAAACTCCAGGTTTGCTCAGTTACAGCAAAAGCAGTTTTGTGCAGTTGGCAAGGATAGGGATTTGTCACACTGTGGACTAGCTGGGCCTGAGAGAGATTGCGCCCAGGGGCCCCTTTTCTCTGAAAATAAAATAAATGATCACAAGGATTTGGCACAGTGTCAAATAGTTCACTCACTTATTTATGAGATTCTTATCCGTCCCTTCATGTTAAGGTCCCAGGGGCAGGTTACAACAATATAATCAAACAATTAGAATGGTGTATACAATTACAAAAACAAACCAATTCCAAGCGAAAAGAAGCAAAGTATAGGTTAAACAACACAGCAGAGGTTGCCTCCACGAAAAATGCTGTTAAAGATCATGGCATAAAGGGTTGCATTTCCAGCATATGGTGGAAGCTAGACAACAAGCTTAAGGATTTTAGTACCCCTTCACTAGGGCATTACGTTCCATGTGAAACAACCCATCAAGAAGAACAGAATGCAAAATGTGTGGCTTATATGAGTTCTTTCTGCTCTTTGCTGTGACAATCTATAATTATGAGCTGGCTACAAATGTCTAGCTTGCTGAGTTCGCCTCATGCAGGACAGTTGGTTCTCCCATATTTGGAAGTATATATTGGCTGCTGATATAAGCCCGGGCTGGATGATAGCTTACCCATCCAGCTTCAGCTCCAAATATTGATTGGCAGTCTCTCTTCATTGTTAAATTTGGTATGATTTTTGAGGAAAGCCCTTGGTGCTTGGGAGAAAGGTGCAAAAGAAGGTGCTTGGCATGTGACAGGCACAGCGTCACGTCAGCCAGCCATCCCAATACAGTATCTTGTGCCTGCCTTGTCATACTGAAGGTGTACCACCTCATTGTGCACCCTTTACATCAGCCTTTCTCAACCTTGGATCTCTAGATCAGTGTTTCCCAACCTTGGGCCTCCTGCTGTTTTTGAACTACAATTCCCATCATCCCTGACCACTGGTCTTGCTAGCTAGGGATGATGGGAGTTGTAGTCCAAAAACAGCTGGAGGCCCAAGGTTGGGAAACACTGCTCTAGATGTTGTTGGACTACAACTCCCATCATTCCTAGCCAGCAGGACCAGTGGTCAGGGATGATGGGAGTTGTAGCTCAAGAACATCTGGGGATCCAGGGTTGAGAAAGGCTGCTTTACACTTAACAGTATTTTTAACAATGGTAACAGGGGAGCATGGCCATAGTATCTCTGAAGCAGGCATGTTTTTTTTGCCAACAAGTACTGCAATTGAGATACTGCAATGCCATATTCTTATTTCGTTCTTGGTTAATCTTTGCCAGTGGATTCAATTGGCTGCTCCTGTGGCAGAGCAACATCCTGTCCTTTCCCTTGCACACTGTACTGCAGGGTCAGTTCACCAGGCCTTTTCAGGACAGCAGCATCTGTCATCAGCTTTCTTTGCTTTTCTAAGGCTTGCCGCTGGGACTCTGTTTCAGTTCTCTTTTGTCACTGGGCAGGCTGACACCATTTCCACTGAATGAGGACAAAACCTAGATGGAAGCTTTATCCATACTACCGGGGTGGATACGCGCGCGCGCGCGCACACACACACACACACACACACACATTTTTGCAATTTTAGTGATCCCAGGTGTCAGTCTTTAAAAGTAACCGAAATGTCAATACAATATAAACATGCTTCATTTTATACTTCATTCTTAAAGCTTAATTTATGACTCTGTCAAACATGCCTGTATCATTCAGTGCGTGAGCGAGAGAAGCATTTATTTTATTTTAAAGCATTGATTATTAGGAACATAGGTAGTTGAGCGTGAGCGTGCAGACTAGCAGGGTGAATTGCTTGCCTGGCATGAAGATTGCGCATGTTGCTGGTCACCAAGTAGCAAGGGAGATGCTGGGGCAAAGTCCGTACTTGGGGGCACATTCACACCAATGATAAGGGTAAATGCAGTTGCAAGGTCCCGGAAGCCAAATTTAGGTTGCTAGGTAGAATGCTGAAAGCCAGAACCTCCAAGGAATGCATGGATGAGACAGTGGTGCTGGGAGGAGGGGTTTGGATTTATTAGTCACTGGGGAACATTCTGGGGCAAGACAGGCCTGTACAAAAGAGATAGGCTCCACTTGAACTGGGCTGGGAGCAGACTGTTGGCATTTAAAATCAAAAAGGTGGCATGGCAATATTTAAACTGATTTGCAGTGAAAGGCAATGGGACCTGAGGGATGAAGATGATAAATGGGTGAATATTTACTGTATTTTTCGCTCTATAGGATGCACTTTTCCCCCTCCAAAAATGAAGGGGAAATATGTGTGCGTCCTATGGGGCGAATACAGGCTTTCGCTGAAGCCTGGAGAGCGAGAGGGGTCAGTGCGCACCGACCCCTCTTGCTCTCCATGCTTTGGGCAGCTATCCACAAGCCTTCGGAGCCCGGTGGGAGTTGGCTTCTTTGTTCTTTGGGGCTGGGGAGGGAAATAATTCCCCCCTTTATTTCCCCCCCTAAAAACTAGGTGCGCCCTATGGTCCGGTGCGCCCTATGGAGTGAAAATACGGTAAATGGGGTGGCAGCGAACTCAGCACTGTGAGTGCCGGGGCGCAGGACAGCAATTCAGAGAAGCCAGAGCGCCGCAAATCAAAATGCAAGTGCCAAAGATACTTCAAGAGAGAGACACTCTGTGCAAGTGTTTATATTCTAATGCTAGAAGCTCCCAAGCCAAGATGGGTGAACTGTAGTGCTTGGTTTTAAAAGGTGACATCGATATAGTTGGTATTACAGAAGCCTGGTGGAGCAGAGAGAACCAGTGGGAGACGGTTATCTCTGGATGTAAACTCTACAGGAAGGGCAGAGAAGGACGTGTTGCTCTGTACATCCCTCAGGAGAGGTTTTTCGGGGAGTGTTGAAAGACAGTAGGAAAGTCAGTGTATGTGAGCTTTTCTCTGGATCCAACACAATATATTTTCAACAGCTTTTTCAGTTGTGCTTTGACTGATTGTGACCAGGTATTCTTGCTTTAAAAAACAAATCAAAACAAAATAAAATCATGAGTTCATTGGTCAACTGGTGCAAGGATTGCTCTTTAAATGTTCTTGGAAGCATTTCTTGAAAGTATCTCAGTAACCAACAGGCAGAAGGACTGTGGTCTACTTTCTGCCACCCTTGATTCTGAGTTACTTTTAAACTGACTCTGATAGTCTTGTGTGCATTTATTGTTGTGAGTGTTACATGTCATTCCGCAATATCATCAGTTGATTATAACCACATGTAAATCTGTCGTGTTTTATCCTCAAAAAATTATCTTTTACAGGAGAGGTCATCGCAGCTTTAACACTACTGAAGCAAAATATGGAATGGGTTTCACTGGTGACTGAATCCAGCCAAACAAACAGTATTGACAGTAGCTTGAAAATCACCAGTTAGCAGTTTCTTCACGCTCCAACACTGCACAGCACTTTCCAGAGAGAACTCATTGTGTGCAAGAAATCTGCTTTACAAATCTGTCCTGGTACCCTACAGCTTTGTCTGGTTAAACCCTTACAGAAGGCGAAAGAGAACCCGGAGAAACATGGAGGAATACCTGTGGATGGTTATTGTCGGTTTTATAATTGCTTTTATTTTGGCATTCTCGGTTGGGGCAAATGATGTTGCCAATTCTTTTGGTACTGCCGTGGGCTCTGGTGTGGTTACTTTGCGCCAGGCCTGCATTCTTGCTTCAATTTTTGAAACGACTGGCTCAGTGTTACTAGGAGCAAAAGTAGGCGAAACGATCCGTAAAGGTATCATTGATGTGAACCTGTACAACAGCACTGTGGAGCTACTGATGGCAGGAGAAGTCAGCGCGATGGTTGGTGAGTAACTTTCGTTTTATATTCAATATCAGTTCCTTCAAGCAGTTTTGTGCTTTTCCAGTCTTGCTAAGAAATGTGACCAAAGCCTTTTGACAAACAGTAATACAGTGGTGCCTCGCAAGACGAAAAGAATCCGTTCCGCGATTCTCTTCGTCTAGCGGTTTTTTCGTCTTGCGAAGCAACCCTATTAAGCGGATTAGCGCTATTAGCGGTTTAGCGGCTATTAAAGGATTAGCGGCTAAGCTGCTAAAAGGCTATTAGCGGCTTAGCGGCTTAGAAAAAGGGGGGGGGAAATTGCAAGACTAGCAAGACGTTTCGTCTTGCGAAGCAAGCCCATAGGGAAAATCGTCTTGCGAAGCAACTCAGAAACGGAAAACCCTTTCGTCTAGCGGGTTTTCCGTCTTGCGAGGCATTCGTCTTGCGGGGCACCACTGTACAGCAGCTTGAGTCTTGGACACTAATATTTCTGAATGTGCAAATTTGCTTTTCGCTATTGTTTGGAACTGCCAGGGTAGAATCTACCCTATATAGATGTTTCACTGCTGAACTCTCAACCGTGCTTAAGAATCTGGGACCTGGTAATCCCTCTCACCCCCTGTACAAATTCCACCAGCTCCCCCCCGCCCATTGGTACCACAAATGACTGAAGATTATTCTAACCAGGTTCATCTTAAACAGAATACCATGCGAGGGTTTAGTGATAACTAAAAGAATCTGGTTAGCATTGGCTACAGATAAAATCAGTGCTGTCGTGGTGAGAGGGAACTTTCATGCCCTTTGCTTCTTCTTTATTAACCAAGTTTAAAGGCTTGGGGATGCTAAGATCTGCTCCAGTTCTTAGTAAGGCTGCTAGCCTTTTATTACTTCAGTAGAAATATACCATGTGCATTGTACTGCATATAACACCAAACTATTAAAATAAATGCTTGTGTTTATTTTGACATGGGTGTTAAAATTGTGTGCAAGAACAGAGAAATATGACACGATTGTGCAGTTTTAACAAGGATGATCTTAATAAGATGACCGAAGAGGTTTTTTGGTAGCCCCCTGCCCCCAGCCCAATCTAAAATAAAGCTCAGGAGCAAAAGTGTTTCCATAACTTGTGGTTTCACTGGCTAATGCCACTTTAGAGATATGTGATGTTCCAACAAAATACATGAGGGGAAAGGGTGAAGAATAGAAGGAGTTGGATAAGTCCAACCATCACTTCTCTGGGCTGGCTAAAAAAAATTAATGGCTCCCACTTCCACAGAAAAAAATCTCATCTGCTCTGAAAAAATAAGATGCTTGATCAGTGTGCTGCAGCTTCATTTGCTCTTCTTTAATCTTCTAGCTGTTTGCATTTATAATCAGACAGTATGGCAAGTTTGTATGTTAATTATGCACACTTGATTGAAAAGTCCATTAGATCCTACTCTTTGTCCCTGGGATCTAGCGTCAGTTCTTTTATACACTCTAGAAACCAAAGGCCTCACTCATATCGGACGATCATATATCAGCTTATTAAGCCGAGTTATGTATGGGTCTTTTGCCCACACAGGCAGACCCTTTGCTCAAACTACAGAAAAACCAAGAAGCCTCTGTTATCCATAGTTTGCTGTTTTGTCTGAAATGAGAATCTTTGGTTACCAGTGTCAGAACACGTCAAGATAAACCACTGTTTGAACTTGGTTTTACCATCCTGGCTTGCTCTGAAGCTGGGACCTGTGTTTTCCCAGTTCAGATGAAATGAGGAGCTATTGCTACTAAAAGACTTGTGCACATTTCTGCTTAGTAAGCTGAAATAATATTCATCTGAATTGGCTCATTGGTTTGCATATGTTCTGGGGTTTGTAAATCCTTATCAGGATTGGCTCCCGCTGTGCCTGGGATCACAGTTTCACTGGTTATTAGGATGTTCTCACCTTCCTTTCTCCTACTAGTCAGATGTCACATCCTCTTGACTCCTTGCTGTGCACAGAGAATGCCAAAATGAACACTGGGATATAGTTCTTGAGAGCCGCTGTCACGCAGGATGATACGCTTTCTGTCTCTCAAATTGCAAGTCCTAGATTCTTCTGTACAAGTGCATTTTTTCTCTTCCTGTTTATAGAGAAGACCTTGTGCTGGCAGCTAACTGTCAATATTGCTTGCTCTGCTTCTGATTGGCTCCACCAAATCTCACAAGATTATGGACACCCGACATAGATGCAGGGAAATAATATTGCCTAAGCCGCCCAGAGTGGCTGGGGCATCCCAGTCAGATGGGTGGGGTACAAGTAATAAATTCTTCTTCGTCTTCTTCTTCTTCTTCTTCTTCTTCTTCTTCTTCTTCTTCTTCTTCTTCTTCTTCTTCCTCCTCCTCCTCCTCCTCCTCCTCCTCCTCCTGAAAAAGAGGTGCCAGAACTCACCATGAATGCCTCTCTTGTTCTCTTATAATGGCAGTCGTTCCCACCTGAGAGCTGAGTTCTGACTGAAAACAAGCCCTGGCTACACCACACTCAATACCACATGCACATAATAACTAGTGAAACTGCGACCCTGGGCAGTGTGGATGGAGGTCCTGGACTGCCCAGACAACAAGACACCCCCCCCCTCAGCCTTGCTGATGTGGTCCAAAGGAAAGCAGAGCAATACGTTTGACACCTGCTTGGCTGCAGGAGTTGTCGGAATGAGGCGTACAAGGTGCCATCCAACCGTCTTAGGGACTCCACACCTGGTTTGTGTAGGGTTTGCTCCTTAGCCTTTTCTTCTCCTGAAGATATCCCACAAGGCGGTGGAGGTCGAGGATCAGATTTTTCCTTCTCCTAGATGGGCTCCTAGGTTGGCGAGCCCCATCTGCCCCTCACTTCCCTCTACAGCATCTTCAGAAACTACCTTCTTGACCTTTGGGCCTGCTATTGGTCTCATCCGCTCAATCCACCAGAGCCTGTCTTTGCATGCAGGGAAAGTCCCTAACACACCAAGGGTTTAAGACCCATCAGCTATCCTCACCTGGCTTGCTGGCCAGTTGAAGCCATCCCCAGGATGTGGCCACATACTGACAGCTTCTAAGAGCCACAGGTGAGAGGTGAGTGCAGGGTGCGGACCAAAATGGGACAAACTACCCCAGAAGGAGCACAATGTGTCCCTCACCTGGGGGTACCACCCCATGCCAGAAAAACTTGGTTTTCGGGAAAGTGAGTTTCTGTCCTGTTGTTCGGATTCCCTTTCCCTGCACTTTCCATTGGGGGAATCCTGCACATTTTACTGGCAAGCTGAGGTGGCAGGGCATATGACCACACCATTTTCTGTCCCCTTCTCACTATCAGGTTGATTGTGTCTCCCTCTCCTTGATCCATGTGCAAAGCTTCTCCCCTCAATGAGCCTCTTTTGCACCCTTCCCCAGCTTCACCGTTCCCCTGGAACTTGGCAGCAGTAGTTTTAAGAGCCTTTGTAGCTGCAGTCTCTAGCCCTGACCCTACAAATACATTCCAAATACCACCCGGTCGGCCAGCTTCTGCAGATTTTCAAGGAACAAGTTTTGTTTTGTGAGTTGGTTATGTAGAAACGCTGGAATGGATTTTTGTGTGGCATTGAAAACAAAAACAAAACAAAACAAACACAAAAACACACACACATAAAAACCCAAATTCCTAGACTGAGCATGGGTTCATAAGCACCACATTCCTCCATCCTAAGTGTGTAGCAAGAAAACAGGGTGGAGTGGGTGGAGAAAGAATTGTGAAAAAAAATTGCATAGTTTCTAAGAAGTGGGCTGTGTCTAGTTTCAACGTAGAATTTTGAGGCTTGTGTGTACGCAAGATGTACAGTCACCTACTAGTCCTAGCCCTTAATTTCAAACGTGAACGGCTGTTGGAGACTGCAGTTTGTCATTAATATTTGGAGGGAAATGCAATCTGCACGTGCTCAGAGCCTGAGTTCAGCTCATTTCTGATGGTCACCTGTTGGTCACCATAGGCAACCAAATGAGTAATTACTTACTCATTTTCTCTACTTTTAAAAAAATAACTGGATAATCCTGAGATTTTACTGGGATTGGAGTACAGGAGATCCAACCAGTCAAACATTGTTGTTTGGCCACTTTGTTGAGTATGACCTGGTTCGCACATCCCTGTATTGGGAAGTTTTTAACGTTTGATGTTTTGCTGTGTTTTTATTATGGTGGAGTAACTGGGGCAATCCAGTCAGATGGGCTAGGTGTAAGTAATTTATTACTGTATTATTATTATTCATGCTGGTGCACACTGATGAAATTGTGGGCACTTTGCTCTATTCATCCTGCTGCTGCACCGCTAATAATCAAGTAATGGTATGACTTGTGCTGTCTGAACCTGGTACGTTTCTCTCCAAATAAACCACAAAGAACAAATCCTGACTTACGCTCCAGGTTTGAAGGAAAATGAACTATGAGATTGAGTTTGGGTTACATAACAAGCTAGACTATAGCTTTTTTACATTAAACCACAGTTTATTTTAACTATGGCTTATTGTGATGTACGAACCAGGTCTATGTGTAGATTTGGTCTCAAATATTCTGTGAATACAAAAACACTGCTTTTCATTGTTTCACAACCTTGTAAAAGGCAATGAGTGCACACATGCAGGTATATCCCCCCACCGCACAATGATCATTCAAATGCCCAACACAAGCATTCCTAACTGGAAATACAGAGGGGTCTGAATGCCAGAGGCATGCAGTATGTTTATGCTTAACTTGTGCATTAGTAATATTGAAAACCCTTTCTGTCATTCTGGCCAGGTGACAATTTAAGGTGCACTTGGGTATGTCATTGTCCTGTGCTCGTGAAGAGAACTGCCCATCTCATCTCAAGGCAGCATGTAGATTATTTGAAAGAAAGGCAGAGCTGAGTCAGTGTTGGATAGCTGAGCACAAGCAAATCCGCACTCATAACAGCAGTAAATATTGTCTACCTAGTTTCAGTTTTGCAGCATTTATGAGATCCACATTTTTTAGCGCCTGCTTCATTGAAGAATCTAAGATCTGTGGCTTCCAAGGGGAACTTTTAAACCAGTCCATCCATGTGTCTCCCTTTTGGAATGCATTCCTCTTGTAGGGCTCAGGGTTGCTTAGTTAGGCTATTCTTAGCCTAAAAAAAGTCAATCAGAGGCCTAAATTACGCAGCAGGTGGCTTCACTTTGTGGCTTGGAAGGTAGGCCTCAGCTAGGAATAGAAAAGTCAGCAGTTTAGGAACGGAGCGCCAGGAAAGAATTAGTTTTATTCATTGGCTTCCTAAAGGAAGTTGTATGTGGTGCTAATGGCTCGCTCTTAAAATCAGAATAGATAGGGTCTTCTGGAAGGGAAATTGGGTAAGAGCTTTACCGCTTATAAAGTAATAAATCTTGCTCTGCGCTGTACATGTAATGGCAGCTTGCACTGTGCCGCTTTGTGGAGAATTAATTTGGCAAGCCTCAGCGGGAACTTCGTTAGGAACCGGACGCTGAGGGCCTCACACTTTGAAGCTGGCACCTACGTCTTCAGGTGCTTGACAGTCCTGCCTAATCTGTTAAAGCACAACTTCAGATTCGGCTTCCCATACATATATTTTAGCTTGCCTAGCACTTGACAAACCTCCTGTTCCTACAGTCCTGGGCTTGCAGCAAACAAGAGCTTCACCATCCTAGCTGGTGGGCTGTGTTCATCTAGGTAGGTCATAAACTGTGAGGGTTTTTTATCATTTGCATCTACTATTATTAATCTTTGAGGGGCATGTGGCAAAATTAAAGGGTAAAGGGGACCCCTGACCATTAGGTCCAGTCGTGACCGACTCTGGGGTTGCGGGGCTCATCTCACTTTATTGGCCGAGGGAGCCGGTGCTTGTCTGCAGACAGCTTCCAGGTCATGTGGCCAGCATGACTAAGCCGCTTCTGGCGAAGCAGAGCAGCGCACGGAAACGCCGTTTAGCTTCCCGCCAGAGCGGTACCTATTTATCTACTTGCACTTTGATGTGCTTTCGAACTGCTAGGTTGGCAGGAGTGGCAAGATTGGGGTGTGTATATTTTTCAATATATTGTGGCAGTCTATGATTTTTTGGGGGTGGGGGTGCTATAGATCATAAATTATATCTTGTAAAAATACAATCTCCCAGGAAGCTAACATCTGGACCAATATCCTCTTGTTTAAAGAGCACGACTCCAGCATACCTTCGTGCCCTTTTAACAGACTGGTAAATTTTCCATTCCAGGTTTTATGCACTCTGATGCTCTTGACAGGGATGATGCAGAGCTAGTACTGAGAGGAATGGATAAATCTTACTAATAAAGCAGTTTTCCTGGCTAAATTTCTGAAAAGTTCAGTTATATGGTCCGAATTATTAACATCTCTCCAGCTAAAGGTACTTTGGTGCCAAAGGAGAACTTGACACATTAAAAAAAGCCCCCCAAAACTTTGGTTTGAATCTAATGGGGAATATAAATTTTGTGTTCTTTTAAAAATTAAATAGCAAGTGAAAATATAAAATTACATGAAATCGTTTTCCATTTTCTTTGTCTGTGCATATTTTCAAAACAGAACAAATAAAGATTGTTAAGATTTTAGACGGCTGTTGGCAACTTCACCAGTTTTGATAGCTTGCTCTTTTTCTAAAGGACTTGTGCGTATTCCTTCACTTGCAAGACTATCCAGGCACCTTAGAATTCTACTAGTCCAGGTTTCTAAATTGCTATTCCTTGTCCTGTTTTGGAGATTGAAAGCTTAGAATGTAGTGAAGGGGAGGTGAATGGATAGGCTCCAATGACAGCGTAGCAAAAAAACCATTATTCTACCCTCAGTACTGGGCTAAATGCGTTAAATAGGGCAAAGGTTCATTAAGGCGAAAGAAGCATTGTGGCCTTATTCAGTTTAAATCTATTAGGAATACGATTTGTAATGCAAAATAAATAGAAGCAGTGTTGGAGAAAGCTTGTACTTGAGCTCTGTAATCCTTTCCAGAAATGTTTTGTGTCCGTCTACGAGCAAAAATATGCCGAAAGGCTGGGTTGGTGTTCCCTCAAACAAGAATGCTAACATAACTGTTTGGCCATTAATGTTTATACTAATTAGTTTGTCCCCGCTTTAACTTTTAGGCTCTGCTGTTTGGCAGCTGATAGCATCGTTCTTGAAGCTCCCGATCTCTGGAACTCACTGCATTGTCGGTGCCACTATTGGATTCTCATTAGTTGCAATCGGCACAAAAGGAGTTCAATGGATGGAGCTTGTCAAGATTGGTAATTGACATTTCCTTTTATTTGTGAAGGTTTGTGTACAAACATGCATTGACTGAAACTGGCATTATAGAAACATGATCGTACAATTTTGCTATACTTTTGTTTGGGAACTATAGCCAAATGATTTTGCAAAGCTTAGTTTGATATCCTGGTTTGGAGGGCTTCCTGGCCAGTGTAATTGGCCAGTTTGGACATAATAGTAAATTACCATATTTTTTTCTCTGTAAGACTCACTTTTTCCCTCCTAAAAAGTAAGGGGAAATGTGTGTGCATCTTATGGAGCGAATGCAGGCTGCGCAGCTATCCCAGAAGCCAGAACAGCAAGAGGGATTGCTGCTTTCACTGAGCAGCGATCCCTCTTGCTGTTCTGGCTTCTGAGATTCAAAATATTTTTTTTCTTGTTTTCTTCCTCCAAAAACTAGGTGCGTCTTGTGGTCTGGTGCATCTTATAGAGCGAAAAATATGGTACAATTTTATTAGATCCGGAGAAACGTATTAGGGAAAGAGGTTGAGCTCATGGCAGTCTCTGTTTCTGTAGTATGATGACATTCTTTCACAACAAAGGGTTGGGCGTGACAAAAGAAAAAAGAAAAAAAGTTTTATCTCTGGAAATGACAAACACTATCTCACATGTCCTGGGTATGACTTCTAAACCAGATTTGGAGCTCTCCCCCGATTCTTCCCATTCCTGTAATCCTAGTTAGCCCTAATTCAGATGCCTAAAGTAGAATCCCTCTTCAAGTCATGGTTTTACAGCATAGTTTCAGGCAGTCCTGATACCACAGTATCTGAACTGAGGTTAATTATGGTTAAACCATATCAAATCACATGCAAGTGCCCCAAAGTGTGTTTGGAAATCAGGTTCCGTGAAGTCTGAACTGAGCTCATGTGCACTTTAAATACTGACGTGACGTGGAGAGAGATAAGAGAGTGGTTATGGCTGCTTTCCTTGGACCACTGGAAGTCAAGCTCTGGTTTCACGTCTGTTTTATTTCTCGGTTTTTAAATCCACGCCAAAGTTATGTGAGAATTGATAGCTTTACATTTCTAATTAAAGTGATCACAGTTAATATTTCAAAGCTTAATGTGCTGTGCATGCTTTTTGGGGACATGCACATTTCTTAATCCCTCCAGAGCTGCAAGCCATCTGACCTAGAGTAGAATTTCTTTATTTTTAATTCAGCGTATTTGTGCTGAAAAATGACACAAATTTAAATGACATCTGAAGCTGTGGTGTTCCAAAGTACTCTGTGTTGGTGTTGGACCATCACTAGGGGCATAACCATGAGTTTTCCTACTGCGTTCAGCAGAATGTTCTTTGTATTTTAAAAGACAGAACAGGCATGATAGCAATCATTCTTAAAAACTTGAGTTTTTCTCACGAATTAAACTTTTGTAACTCCCTTGTGTAGTTTGGGACTTGCAAAAATGCCCAATTCTCTCTTAAATGCGAGTGTTATCTATAGAGAATCCCAGTACGGAGTTGAATGATTTTTCTATCATCACTGTCTAGCTTCTATAGATTTTTATTTTTATTTTTCAAAATAGGACATTGAGGGATGGGTGAGGAGATGCAATTTTTTACTTTCACTTTAACAGCTGGTAAGCCTTTCAGGGAAAAATATGCTAGATACCCAGCTAAAAATATTCCCTTCTCATGCAATTTCGCACAAAACACATTGAAATCGATGAGACTTAAACATGCCTAATCTCAGGAGGATTGTGAGTTGGCGCACACTTTTTTCTTCTAACCTGTAAGCCAACTTTTTTGCAGTATCCAGGATCAATAAAAAATAAACGTGCATTGTCAAAAGCTTATAATATTTTTATTGGATAGGATTTTAGCACAGTTGGAAATTATATATTTTCAATCTTCTTGTTTTGCTTTTATTCAGTTGCTTCTTGGTTTATCTCCCCATTGTTATCCGGTATGATGTCTGGTGTGCTGTTTCTGCTGATTAGATTCTTCATCTTAAATAAGGTTAGTGGCGAAATTTGTGCTTCCTGTTTTTGTTGCTGGTAAGACTGTAATGTAAGTGACAAATAGGCTTTGCTGTTCTTCACCGCCAGCTACCCACCACATACTCAAAATGCACTCCAGAGGCTGTCATATGCCCTATTCCCTTAGTAATCTCAGTGCCTGTAGATTTTCTTTAAAGTCTGCAGAAGGTACATTTACTTATTCAAGTTTCAAAGTGTAGTTCATGAATGCTAAGTTCATCTTGAAATGGCTTGATATTCATGCAAGTTATGAGTTCCTAGGGTTCCATTGGGTTCTAGTGTTCCACCAAAAATGGAAGTCAAGGTGTTAGTGTGTAAATGAGGCTGGATTTTTACTAATGGTTCTTAATTGGATTATGTGGATCAAAGTAAACAGGCTGCGGTGTGGTACACAGGTGATAGGGGGCAAAACCTGCCCCAGGCAGTGGAGTCGCCCCAAAGAGATTTAGCCCTCATTTTATTTTGTTCCCCATTTTATTTACTCCCATGTAATCAAATCACTCTGTTCACTTACTTCAGGGAACAGTAAAGGGTTTTTTTGTGGGGGCAGAACCCATTTGCTACCCCAATATTGGGTCAGCCTCCACTAAGTGGTACTGTTTGTGATGTGTCACTGTGCACAGAGATGCATTCCTACACGTAACATGCATCTTCCTAGTAAACAGGCCCACCCTCCATACATCACCTGCCACAGTCACTAGCATTCCCCCCCCTTTTTAATCTTTATTTATACAATAACAAAAACACACACAAAAAACACAAATACAAAATTACACACAAATTACTAAAATAACCATAGACACATAATTTTCTTGGCAAACAATAAAACATCTATTGGTCTTAACACTAAAGACCCAACTTCCCGTCTATTCCATATTTCAAATTCATATTACTTATTGCCAATACACATTTTCATAATTAAACTTATTCTCAATAAATCTAATTTCTTCTATCTACCTAGCAACTATTACTGAAGTTCCTCGAATGCTGCAACAGAATTTAAACTACTATATTTATTTTTCAGATATTCTTTAAAAACCTCCCATTTAGAAACAAATTCCTGTTTTGATTTATTCTTTATCTTTTCTGATAAACCATCTAATTCGGCATATTCTGTCAGCTTTTGGATCCAATCCAATCCAGTCACTAGCATTTTCTAATGTCATTGTTTTTGGGCTTTTCCCGAATTTTTTTTTATTGCTTTTCAACATTTATCACAAAATAACATGACAAATTACACAACTATAATAAACTAAACACACAAGAAAAAAAGGTTGTCTCTTCAAATATCCAACTTTCATCACATTGATGACTGACTTCCTTGAATCCCCTCTAACTGAATTTCATTATATCACTTTTATAACAGTTCTCCAAGTTCATATTTCTAATAATGTTAACTCCTTTCATTTACTAACCTCTTTTCCTTTATTAATATTCTAATCCATAATATTTACTACCACGTATCCTTATTCTACCCCTAAGCCTATTTGTCACTTCCAAGGATTTTCTATTTATCTAATGTCATTGTTAAAATGGGTTTTGGGATGGCTGCCCTGTTGTTTTGCCTTTTGAAATTTAAATTGTTCAGCGGCAGTCTAGACACCCAGGACACAATTTTAATCAGATGCACCATGTGTTCAAAGAGCAAAATTATTTTTGCCGTAAGTTTAGTAAATGGTTAAAATATTGAGCTCCCATCGTGTAAGGTTCTCAGGAAAGATGCAGACATTTTGTAAAGCCCTAAAGGGACTCAAATCAGTCATGAGGTTTCAGTAGCCTGTGTTAAGGACATCGGCACTCAAGTGATAAATTCATGGGTTCTAATTATGGAATTTGAATTTGCCTGAAAGCCAATGGCGTTTTGAAATTAGAGAGTGACATGCATAAGTCGAACTGACAGTAGGTTGCATGTCTGGCCCTCTTCTGGACTAGATCTGTCCCCAGAAGCAAATGTATGGGAGGAGAGCTGAAAGAAAACACATCATTTTGCTTCTTACTCCCACTGATCATGAGTTGCCATTTCTCACTTTCCCAGTTCCTTTTTTCTTATTTTAATATTGCAGAGAGCTAATAAGGACTCTGGAATAACTCTAAAACTGCAACGTAATACACAGCTACAAGCTGTAGAGGATAACTAATATATGCCACTGTTTGTGCACGGCTTCTCTCTGTTGACTAAATAAAGAAAAGTTTATCAACTGCACCTACAATTCAGAGTCTGAAACCGTTCTATTCGTTGCTGAGTTGCTTTAGGTGTGGGCATCTGTCTAGCAGTGTTGAAGCATCCAGAGATCAGTGTGTGCTTTCAGCACTGAAATGCAACCCATTTTAGTGGAACACTGCTACATAGCTCATCAGAAATGCCTGTAAAACATTCCTCTCCCCTTTCAAATTGCCAAAGCTTCAGAATAAGAGGCTGTGAAACTGTAAACAGAAATTATCCACTCAGTAAATCAAAACAAAGGATTGCAACCTCTTTCTGTAACCCTGATCTGATTGCCTGTGATATCCACAACTTTGATGTCCTGTAACATTTTTTCTCAATAGCTACTTATACCCACACAAAGTCCCTATTTCAAAAAGTTGCTTCCAACCTTTAGAAATGCTGGTGAAAATCTTACTATGTTGCTAGAAGCTGTGCCCCACTCTCTGCATTTGCCAACTCCCCTGTCACTTTTTCTCGCTCTACTCAAACCTCTGCCATTGTTTAAAATCACTACCCCCAGTTTCCTTTGCTCAAACTTCTGCAGTTGTTTAAAAACCTGTCCTCTCTTTTGCTCTCTGCCATCATGACTTCATTCAAATTGAGGGTTGTGATGATAACAGGCATCACCCCACTTATATCCATGTATATCCATGGTGCTAGGAAACAACCAGCCAAACAAAGAAATAAATTCAAACCAAGAAACGACGGGAGAGGCCTCGTGGCTCACAAGGAGACCCTCTCCAGAGCCCAAAGAGGATTTCAGTGAGGGCACAGGAAGTACCAAAGAGACTGGAGGCGCAGCAGGGCTTTTGTTTCCACTGCTCAGCCTCCATGCCTAGCAGCTGACACGTGCGGTAGCGCAGCAGCAGTGGCTGCTTTTCTGCACATTCTCCAGACCCCAGGTGGCTCTGGATCTTCAATTCTAGTTGAAGTGAGAGTTGTGTAGAGAGAGAGAGCTGAAGAGTAGGAAGAGGCTTTTAAGAGGCTGCTTCCCACTCACGCAATTTCTGCTTACGCGCACTGGGCCCTGGAACGTAACCCCCACATAAGTGGGGCGGGGGACGCCTGTACACTACAAACCCTCCAGTGAAGGCTGATTGTTGATAGCCTTGCATTTTCATGTATATAGGGAGGCAACATTAAGTGTTTATTTCAAAGTCCCTCGAGGTTTAAAGTTTCAGCGCAATTAATTTTTAAATGAAGACTTCATATGGTGGACAGATCCAGTATTCAGTGACTGTGCTCACCCATGAGGAGCTAAACAACGTTTTCTCCCATGGTTCATTTCATTGGAATCTGTGGTTAATCTTAACTGCGGCTGGATTGAAACAAGCCAACTTCAAATTGGAATAAAAAATATGTCTCTTTTAGGAGCACAGGGAAATACCATACTGAGCCAGACCATTGGGTCCGTCTAGCTCAGCAAATACCAGGTATTGAACATGAGACGTTCTGTATGCAAACAGATAACTCTGCCAATGAGCTTATGGTCTTTCCCTTAGGGCTATTTTGCTTGCTTGCTTGAACTTCCAGTTAAACAAATTCATTAAAAAGAGAGGTGGTTTCCTGGCAGCCTGTGTTCTTACCATCAACCTGGAGGAAAGCAAGGGGATCATAGAATCATAGAGTTGGAAGAGACCACAAGGCCCATCGAGTCCAACTCCCTGCCAAGCAGGAAACACCATCAGAGCACTCCTGACATATGGTTGTCAAGCCTCTGCTTAAAGACCTCCAAAGAAGGAGACTCCACCACACTCCTTGGCAGCAAATTCCACTGTCGAACAGCTCTTACTGTCAGCAAGTTCTTCCTAATGTTTAGGTGGAATCTTCTCTCTTGTAGTTTGGATCCATTGCTCCGTGTCCGCTTCTCTGGAGCAGCAGAAAACAACCTTTCTCCCTCCTCTATGTGACATCCTTTTATATATTTGAACATGGCTATCATATCACCCCTTAACCTCCTCTTCTCCAGGCTAAACATGCCCAGCTCCCTTAGCCGTTCCTCATAAGGCATAGTTTCCAGACCTTTGACCATTTTGGTTGCCCTCCTCTGGACACGTTCCAGTTTGTCAGTGTCCTTCTTGAACTGTGGTGCCCAGAACTGGACACAGTACTCCAGGTGAGGTCTGACCAGAGCAGAATACAGTGGCACTATTACTTCCCTTGATCTAGATGCTATACTCCATGTTGCGCTGTTTTAGTGTTGTTAGCCGCCCTGAGCCCGGCTTCGGCTGGGGAGGGCGGGATATAAATAAAATTTATTATTATTATTATTATTATTATTATTATTATTATTATTATTATTTATTGATGCAGCCCAGAATTGCATTGGCTTTTTTAGCTGCCGCGTCACACTGTTGGCTCATGTCAAGTTTGTGGTCAACCAAGACTCCTAGATCCTTTTCACATGTACTGCTCTCAAGCCAGGTGTCACCCATCTTGTATTTGTGCCTCTCATTTTTTTTGCCCAAGTGCAATACTTTACATTTCTCCCTGTTAAAGTTCATCTTGTTTGTTTTGGCCCAGTTCTCTAATCTGTCAAGGTCGTTTTGAAGTGTGATCCTGTCCTCTGGGGTGTTAGCCACCCCTCCCAGTTTGGTGTCATCTGCAAATTTGATCAGGATGCCCTTGAGTCCATCATCCAAGTCGTTGATAAAGATGTTGAATAAGACCGGGCCCAAGACAGAACCGGGCCCAAGACAGGATGGTATGGTGCATGTAGGGATACTGAAAGTTCTTGGAGACCAGCCCTGAAGAAGCATTTATTCTTTGTGGTTCCACTCCTCCCAGCAATTACTGCATAAGGACAGTGAACATAGATTTCTGTTTTGCCGTGATCTAATATGTAGTTTGGCAGCCTGCCTCCTGCTCTAATCAAAACACTCCCTTGCTTATGAGGCTAGGAAGGGTAAAGCTCATAGACCTCCTGATCATTTCCCTTTCCTGCCAGTTCTCCCTAGGGAGGTAAAGTGCTTTAATCTTTCTATCTCCTAACAAGATAATTTTCTACACTCTAAAACTGTGTGCGTCTCTGAATGGGCAAACCAGTGAGAGGGAATGACAGACTAGGGAACAGAACGGACTCATAAGGGATATAACTCAGACTGTCAGATCCTGTCTGCCTAGAAATCTGTCTGTACTCCGTCCCCAGGATCTAGTGCAACCATTTTCACAATTGTTTATTACTCATGGAAATAGGGGCCCTGTCCAACAACAGGGTGACAGTTGTGTTTCTGTGTGTCTGTGACAATATTTCTTTGGGCGTTGTTGCCTCTTACACTGGGGACAACAGAACCGGCTGAAGGTGCCTCTTGCAGTTTTAACTCATCCAGCCGTTCGCTGTTGTCTGTCCTCATTTTTTAATTTGGGGCTGATTTCAGAATTCAGAAGCCACATTTTCCTTTTTTGCTTTGTGCCACATTTGGGTAATAAAGGCTGGATTTTTGCTAGCAGATATTCAGGGCCTCCTTATTTGGAGTGAGTTGAATTTTTTGACTGACTGTATCTGATGCAGTATCTCCAAAGCTGTGATATTTTATCTTCTTTTATTCTTTATACAGGAAGACCCTGTGCCCAATGGTCTTCGAGCCCTTCCAGTCTTCTACGCTGCTACATTAACGATTAATGTATTCTCTATAATGTATACAGGTGCCCCTGGTGAGTAATATCTGACTTGCGATGTCCACTATGTTACATGCCGGCTGTAGTCAAACACTCTGTGAAGAGGGACAAAGGCTTCAGAAATTACCAAATGTCAGGGGAATTCATAGGGGAATTTTGGGACTCTGAATATCATTCTGGATGCTGGATGATTGGTAAAGGACAAAAAGAGATGATAAATGTTACAAGGCTGGTTTTGCTTTCCGTAAAAGAAGGAACACATTCAGACAGCAGTTCCTGGAAAAGCAAGACAAACTAGTGTGTTTTCACCTAAGCCGTTGTAGATCTGTGAGGGCCACTTTGCACATCGTGTGTTTGCTACATAGGATTTACCCACATGGATTCACAGCCATCCACAGTCTCTAGACAGGTGTGCTTGCATGATGTGCGTGTTTCAAGACACATATTTGTAGCACTTGATATGCTCACTTAAAAAACCTTAGGCACATTAGCGTCCAAAGTTGCCCTGATTTTGTTTCTGTCAAAAGCTGAAACTTCATGTTCTAAATAGGCACATTTGCTAATAAAGGGCAACTGAATAAAATGCATCCTCCTTACTTTTTATTTTTTGTGATCAGTGGAACCAGGCAACACACCGCTGTCCTGTATTAAGTTGAACTTGTAAACTGGCACAAGCTGTTATTGCTTTAGATTTTACGGTTAACCCCAGATGCAGTTCAGTAGCAATAGCAGATTGTCCCAATCTGATGCACAGTGCTCTGCCCATGTGTTTATAATATTACCAGTCTTTTGAGCAAGGAGCATGTGTCCTGAGTGACAGAGGAAATGACTTGGATTTAAAATCTTGTGCTTTTACCTGTATCACAAGTACCACCATGCCATTTATTTTTTTGATTTTATTGGTGTGTTAAAAATAGGCAGCTGTACCAGATCAGTTGTATGTAGAATGACAAAAGATATGGGCAGCTGCCATTCCCAGTGAAATGAAAGTACTGACCCAATATTGACATATTATGTATCAGATTCAAGGAAAGGAGCTGTGCTTAACAGTTGATGGTTTGTATATCATGGGTGAAGTACTGTGAGGGCTTCAATGACAAAAGCACCAGAAATTATGCCCGTGGCTTTGGACTCCCATGCTGTTTTTACCAATTAAAACCACATTATATCTCCTGTCAATTGACAGTGCTGGCTTGCACGACCTGTGTACAGAATTGGGCCTATAGGTATTTAAGAGTATGCATGCTGTGATGGAAGGCAGATAATTATATGTGCAGCAGTATGGCAAATTCAGTGGCCCATGTTGGAGTCATAGCTGGTGAGCAATCATCATGAGCTCTATGTGGAAATTCTTTTACAAAGCTGCCACAAAGTGTAATAGATGTTTCCTTGGTGTAGAGATCAAGCCAAATGAGATGACCTTTACAGTGGGGTGGAAAGCCTCATACCCATTTTTCAAATGAACAGAAATGTAGAGATGCCATAGTGAACTTCAGTGCTGAACACAGTGGCAACTCAAACCCTTGTGATCTGGGCAGCTTGCATGAGAGCAATAAAGATCTTGATGGACTTAATAAGAATGGAAAGGGATGGTGGTAATTTGGTACTGCTTTTGAATACATTTGCCACCTTGCTTCCATGGCTTGTTGTTGTTTAGTCATTTAGTCGTGTCCGACTCTTCATGACCCCATGGACCAGAGCACGCCAGGCACTCCTGTCTTCCACTGCCTCCCGCAGTTTGGTCAAACTCATGTTGGTAGCTTTGAGAACATTGTCCAGCCGTCTTGTCCTCTGTCGTCCGCTTCTCCTTGTGCCCTCAATATTTCCCAACACCAGAGTCTTTTCCAAGGAGTCTTTTCTTTTCCTGAGGTGGCCAAAGTATTGGAGCCTCAGCTTCAGGATCTGTCCTTCCAGTGAGCACTCAGGGCTGATTTCCTTCAGAATGGATAGGTTTGATCTTCTTGCAGTCCATGGGACTCTCAAGAGTCTCCTCCAGCACCATAATTCAAAAGCATCAATTCTTCAGTGATCAGCCTTCTTTATGGTCCAGCTCTCACTTCCATACATCACTCTATGGTTTACAATCCTCAAAAATGTGAACTATGCTCAGTAAGGCCTTGTTCACCTAGCTGACTTGAAAGGACTTGAGCATACAGAGCCAGGAGGTCACTGCTAGAAATTTTGGGGTGAAACAATTTTTTTAAAAATAATATTTTGTTAAGTTTAACAATAAAAAACAACCACACAAAAAAAGAAAGAAAAACAATAAACACAGAGAAGATATAAAACATACAGAATTTCACAATACAATACAAAATACACAGTACAAAACTACAAACATTTAACCTAACAAAGGAAAATAAAATAAAATCAATATACACACCAACAGGTAAAACACATATCACTCTTTTCTATTTTCTTATCTTTAATAACTTATTTTCCGACTTCCTCACGCCTCCCTTTTTTGTACCCCTTTTTAGCAGTTAATTCAGCAAATTCATATCCTATTACTTTATCTTTACTTATATTAAATTCCAAATTTATAATTTCTAATTTTTATCATCTTATTACTAGAGCCCCTTCATTTCATTTCAATGTCCTCAGCATTCATACATTTTGCAATATTTTTGTAGGTAGATTTTAGATTTCATCCAATCTTCTTCCACCGACTCTTCTTCCCTGGTCTCGGATTCTGCCAGTCATCTGTGAAACAATTTTTTTAAATGAAATTTATGCAGAACGTGTAACAGAATTGATAAATAAAAACTGCAACACGCATAACAGAATCATTGGCATTGCACAAAGTGGAGAAGCAAGGAATTCAGTTTCCCATGACATGGTCAGAGTGATCATGCATCTCACAGGATTAAGAAACATCTCTTCAACCTAGAAGATGACGATGACAAAGCTGTATTCATAGTCTGTTAATCTCTCTGCATGACTGATGCATGATTCAGATGATGTTTTTAAAAGCCATAGAACAGTTGAAGAGGTTCAGTGCATTCAGAATAGTACAGTGGTGCCCCGCAAGACGAATGCCTCGCAAGACGAAAAGCCTGCAAGACGAAAGGGTTTTCCGTCGCGGAGGCGCTTCGCAAGACGAATTTCCCTATGGGCTTGCTTCGCAAGACGAAAACGTCTTGCGAGTCTCGCCATTTCTTGCGATTCTCGCCCGCTTCCCCCCCTTTTTCAAAACGTCTTGCGAGTCTCGCCCGCTTCCCCCCCCTTTTTCAAAGCAGCTAAGCCGTTAATAGCCTTTTAACAGCTTAGCCGCTAAACCCGCTAAGCCGCTAATAGCGCTAAATCGCTAATAGCGCTAATCCGCTTAGCCGCCAATGGGGTTGCTTCGCAAGACGAAAAAACCGCTAGACGAAGAGAATCGCGGAACGGATTCTTTTCGTCTTGCGAGGCACCACTGTACCTACAGAAGTCACAGAACCTGACAATAGCAACATACTTCTGGTCTCCCTGACAACAATTGTGGCAACAGATGATGTTCCCATTAATTCGCTGAAAGCTAATGACCAATGGATAGAAATCGCAAGACATCATTTAATATCTTTTTCTGTAGGAATTTCTATACCGTTCAACATGCAATTTACCAGAGATTAATATGAAGGTTTGATTCATCAGGGCAGCTCCTACCTCATGATCCACTGGGGGAAAAATAACTTGATAAAACTTTTGCTTGTTTAAAGATGCTTACCTTATGATCCAGGTGTTATGATGTCTAGATGGAATATGGATTCTCTCTTTCACTGTTGCTTGTGAAGGTTGGAGATGAGCACCATGCCAAAAGCAGGCTATTGGTGTAGATAACCCTACATGAGGTTCAGAACTTGTGATGGTAATGCACTAATTTGAGCAGCAGGGAAGCCTCAGGAGTTCCTGACATTTTGTGAGCGTGCTGACAAATTCTTCTGCTCTGCGGTCCGACACTTTGGGGGCAGTACTCCAGTCATTTTTGATGGATGCACTTGAGTCTGTTCCACAAAGGCTGACACACAACCCAAACAAATAGGTTCGAAAGAGGCAGTACTAAAGCACGTTGATGGTGTGAAGTCACATCACTGGGCAAAAAAAATGTTACGGTAAATGTTAGAAAACCAATGTGGAAGGATGTAATTTTGTTTTTTTTTTTTTCAGTCCTAGGAATCGTTCTTCCTATGTGGGCAATAGCGCTAATATCAATTGGTGTATCAGTAATATTCGCTATCTTAGTCTGGATATTTGTGTGTCCGTGGATGAAAAGAAAAATAGCAAGTATGTCTTTGGGGTGGGGTGGGGGAGGTCAAAATGTGTGTAATGTTAAATCCCGTGTCTGAGGGAATACCTTTCCAGTGTGTTTTCTATAATAGTGATGCTTTAAATATAACTGCGACAGGTGACCTTTTTATGCCTTGCATATCATGACATTTTGGTTTTTAGTTGTTGTGTTTTAAAAATGCAGGCCATGATCCAAAGAATGAAAGCTCACTGTGACTTCATACTTTTTTAAAAAACAAGCAACCCCCCCCCAGGAGATTCCTATTTCGTATCTTAAATACCTTTGAAACTTAACTTGTTTCCAAAAATTACTTACTGTGTGACAAATGGGGAAAATGATACAGTGGTGCCCCGCAAGACGAATGCCTCGCAAGACGAAAAACTCGCTAGACGAAAGGGTTTTCCGTTTTTTGAGTCGTTCCGCAAGAGGAATTTCCCTATGGGCTTGCTTCGCAAGACGAAACGTCTTGCGAGTTCTTGCGAGTTTGTTTCCTTTTTCTTAAAGCCGCTAAGCCGTTAATAGCCGCTAAGCCGTTAATAGCCACTAAGCCGCTAATAGCCGCTAATAGCTGTGCTTCGCAAGACGAAAAAACTGCAAGACGAAGAGACTCGCGGAACGGATTAATTTCGTCTTGCGAGGCACCACTGTACTTGAGAAACAGAAATCCCATTCAGCCAAGGTAGCTTTAGACTTATCGTGTAGTAATAATAATAATAATAAATTTTATTTTTATCCCGCCCTCCCCAGCCGAAGCCGGGCTCAGGGCGGCTAACAACAATCAAATAATCAAACAGTCAAATAATCACACATTCTAAAAATATTTCATTATAAAAATTAATTAAAATCAAATTGATGGCAACCAATTAAGCAAAATTCTGTGCAGGTTGCCAGAGGAGGGAGTCAGGCTGCGCCCTGACCAAAGGCCTGGTGGAACAACTCTGTCTTGCAGGCCCTGCGGAAGGATGTCAGGTCCCGCAGGGCCCTAGTCTCTTGTGATTTCGCGTCCCAGCCAGAGTATTTTATTTATCTAACAGCTAGGCTGCTTTGAGCTCAAGGAAGCATAGAACAAAAATTTATAAGATTTAGTGATCTAAATTAGATTGATGTGTAGGTTGAAGCAAATGTTCTGTTTCCTTGGTCTCTGGAGGGAGTTTAATCTTACAGATGTGGGCACCTTTCTGGGTTTCTTGACAAAAGAGCAAAGCAGTCAGTGCATTTATTTATTTAACTGATACTAGTTATTTCTGTTGGGTGGATAATTAACCCATCCTTATAAAAGCTCTGTGTTTTCCTTAGGTCGGTTAAAGAAAGAAGGGGCATTATCAAAGATATCTGACGAAAGCCTTGACAAAATACAAGATGAGGATACACCTGTCTTTAAAGAACTTCCTGGTGCCAAAGCAAATGATGAAAGTACTATTCCTCTTACTGCCTCTGGAACAGAAGAGGCTGGTGTATCAGATAATATCGCAAATGGAAGCCATCCACGTGTGCCATATGGTGAGAAACCAAGAGCACATAAATTATTTTCTGTTTTTGTGTTGCTGCCTGCTGATATCTAGTGGGCAATTCCCTTCTGTGCAAAACCCCTTCCCACCCCAACTTTTTTGATGTACAGGGTGAATAAAAAGAGAGAGTATGTGGTTTTCTTTTGCTTTTTTGGATAATTGCTCATGCTCTTTTTCTTGTGCATAACAGTTTTTTAAAGAACAACACACAGTTGTATGCTGCACCGTGTAATTGTGTAATGTCTTCTCAAATAGCTACCTGTTCATTTACCACAGTTTCTTTTAGTGGATGATGCATTTAAGGCTGCTAGCATATCAATTTCTGATATACTGGTAATGAACAATAGAAATGACATAATATTTTGGCTGAATTTTTAAATGGCGCTTTAATATTTGAGATATTTGAACTATGTTTCACCAATAGACAAGTCTATGCCTTTGTCTTTGTTTTCAAAGACCGAGACTACCGTATTTTTCGCTCTATAAGACGCACCAGGCCACAAGACGCACCTAGTTTTTGGAAGAGGAAAACAAGAAAAAAAATATTCTGAATCTCAGAAGCCAGAACAGCAATAGGGATCACTGCACAGTGAAAGCAGCAATCCCTCTTGCTGTTCTGGCTTCTGGGATAGCTGCGCAGCCTGCATTCGCTCCATAAGACGCACACACATTTCCCTTTACTTTTTAGGAGGGAAAAAGTGAGTCTTATGGAGCAAAAAATACGGTATTTTACTCTAGTAGCTGAACAGGAATGAATGAATGAATGAATGAATGAATGAATGAATGAATAAATAAATAAATATTAATTGCATTTATTCCCCTCCCTTTCCTTTAATGAGCTCAAGGTGGTATATATATGGTGTGTGTCCCTCATTCAATCATCACAACAGCCTTGTGAGGTAGGTTACGCTGAGAGGGAGTGATTGGCCCAAGGTCACCCAGTGAGCTTCATAGCTGGCTGGGAATTTGAAGCCTGGTCTCCCAAGGTCCTAGTCCAACACTCTAACCGCTATGCTGCAATGACTTTCCATATGCAGTTATTTATGTTATTATTACACCTGAATTGATAATTTGAAATAACATGGTTCCTGCCTGCAGACCTTTAATCTGAAGGTAAAGACAAGAGAAATTGGGGAGGATAAATTAGTTGGGGAAAGGTGGGTGGCTACCCCCTTCCCCTTCAACAGGCTTTCTTTCTTCTAACATTTGCCCCAGAGTGGGTGGCTGATGCTTCAGTTCAAGAAGAGAAGGGGTTGGCAATTGGTGAGGAAAGAGCCTCAGTCTGTCTCCCAAGCAACCAAGTACTTGGCTTGATCATGCCTGAACGCCATTTTCCAACTCTTTGACTAGTGTGGATTCCACTGAATATTCTGGTGTTCTCTCCCTACGTATCTCTGACCAATTTGGTCACCAGAAAACGGCCTCGGAGCAGCACATATGCTCTGATGGAGCATAAATGCTCATACAGTGGTGCCTCGCAAGGCGAAAAGAATCCGTTCCGCGATTCTCTTCGTCTAGCGGTTTTTTCGTTTTGCGAAGCAAGCCCATTAGCGGCTAAGCGGATTAGCGCTATTAGCGATTTAGCGGCTTAGCGGCTATTAAAGGCTTAGCGGCTAAGCTGTTAAAAGGCTATTAACGGCTTAGCGGCTTTGAAAAAGGGGGGGGGAAGCGGGGGGGAATGGCGAGACTCGCAAGACATTTTCGTCTTGCGAAGCAAGCCCATAGGGAAATTCGTCTTGCGAAGCACCTCCGAAACGGAAAACCCTTTTGTCTAGTGGGTTTTTCGTCTTGCGAGGCATTCGTCTTGCGGGGCACCACTGTACAAATGATTAAAAAAAAAAGAGTGATATTTCTTTGGAGTTTCACTGTTCTGTTGCCTTTAGGTCTTTAGCTTCCTCTGGGGAAAAAAAATACTTTTCTTTGCTGTTTTAGGAAGAGCATTTTCAATGACACAGAGTACGGTGAAATCTCCAATTTCCAATGGCACCTTTAATTTTGACGGCCACATGAAGAGCGATATTCATGTGTATCACACTGTGCACAAAGACTCGGGATTGTACAAAGACTTACTGCACAAAATACACCTGGACAGAGGCAGCGACAACCGGCCTACGCAAGAAAACAACTACAAACTTCTGCGGCGCAACAATAGTTACACTTGCTACACAGCTGCCATCTGTGGCATGCCAGTGCATTCGTCCTTCAAGGCGGCTGATACGTCAACCCCAGAAGATAGCGAAAAGCTAGTTACAGACACGGTTTCCTATTCCAAAAAGAGGGTTCGATACGACAGCTACTCCAGCTACTGCAACGCCGTGGCAGAAGCAGAAATTGAAGCGGACGAAGGTGGCGTGGAGATGAAGCTGGCATCTGAATTAGTAGATCCTAGCCACCCCCCTGTAGACCCCGTGGAGGATGAGAGAGATGAGAGGGACTCCTCACAGGTCCACCTGCTTTTTCACTTTCTCCAGATCCTCACAGCTTGCTTTGGATCATTTGCTCACGGAGGCAATGATGTCAGGTAAGTGAGGAGAGCCTGCATATGTGAACGATGTCATCGTTTAAAAGTTCTGTTGTTTCTTCCAGCAGTCCAACCAGGTAAAATCTGCTGCAGAATCTTAGTGATGCTGATCTGTTTTAAAAGCAGGCATTGCTCAAAAAGTTCCTGCATCCATGGCTGTATCTTCACACTGTGCGTAAAGCTTCCATTTGTGTGAAGAACAAATACAGAAATGAAACCACGTACAGTGGTGCCCTGCAAGACGAATGCTTCGCAAGACGGAAAGCCCGCTAGACGAAAGGGTTTTCCGTTTTTGAGTTGCTTCGCAAGACGAATTTCCCTATGGGCTTGCTTCGCAAGACGAAACGTCTTGCTAGTCTTGCGATTTCCCCCCCGCTCCCCCCCTTTTTCTAAGCCGCTAAGCTGCTAATAGCCTTTTAGCAGCTAAGCCTTTAATAGCCGCTAAGCCGCTAATAGCGCTAATCCGCTAAGCCGCTAATAGGGTTGCTTCGCAAGACGAAAAAACCGCTAGACGAAGAGAATCGCGGAACGGATTCTTTTCGTCTTGCGAGGCACCACTGTATTTTTGTTGGCTTTGCACTGGATTTCATCTTCCCTCTTGGTGCCATATTGCTTGTGTACAGGTCTAGCTAGAATTTATCAGCTCTATTTGCTGAGTACTGTATTTTTCTGTGTATAAGACGAGGGTTTTTATTAATTTAAAAATATTGTTAAAAATTTGAGGTTGTCTTATACATGGGTAGGGGACACGGGTGGTGCTGTGGTCCAAACCGCTGAGCCTCTTGGGTTTGCTGATCAGAAGGTCGGTGGTTCGGATCCCCGCGATGGGAGTGAGCTCCCGTTGCTCAGTCCCAGCTCCTGCCAAAAAGCACACCCAAAAGTGCAAGTAGAGAAATAGGTACTGCTCCGGTGGGAAGGCAAACGGCATTTCCATGTGCTGCTCTGGTTTCGGTGTTCTGAAGTGGCTCAGTCATGCTAGCCACATGACCCAGAAAAACTGTCTGCGGACAAACGCCAGCTCCCTCAGCCTGTAAAGCGAGATGAGTGCCGCAACCCCAGAGTCGTCTGCGACTGGACTGAACTGTTAGGGGTCCTTTACCTTTTTTTAAATACATAGGTAGTGCATAGGGAGGACGGGCGATTGTTTGCAGCCGCGAGTAGGAGATATACAGCAGTGATTGGGCAGGTGATTGATGTATGCGCCAAGGGCCGTTTGGAATTGGCTGTTGTTGCGGCAATTGGGCGGGCAATTTGTGGCTGCTGGCGGCGATCGGGCAGATGATTGTTGTCGTCTGTGAGGTGTGCGATTGGCAGCTGCTGTTAGGCGGATGAGCTCAACAAGTCTGGGCAATCCCCCCCCCGCCAAACAAAGCTCAACAACCCTTAGCAATCCCCCCCCAAGCTTAACAACTGGGCAATCCCCCCCTCCCATTTTCTTAATTTGCAGTCCCAAAAAATAGGGGTCGTGTTATACATGGGAGCGTGTTATACACAGAAAAATACAGTACATTTTCAGCAAGTTTTACTAAGTTGCTGGCCAGTTTCTTGTTCATAAATTAGGAGAAGGTTGCAAGGCACATGTCAGTTCAGTGATTTGGAAAATAACCTCCTAGGCAGGCTTAGTTGTATTGTGCATAGAAACAAAAAGCAGCTACTGTAAACAAATAGCCTGCTGTAATCCAAGAGGTTGCTTCTTGCACTCCCCACAAATCCATTCTGTTTTTAATAAAGCGTAGCTTGTACAACAGGCCTGCCTTTATTGGGCCAGTTTTGGGTATCTGTAATCATATCCCATTGATTTTTATACGCACCCGTTTGCCACTTCTGGCTCACCGCAAAGTCTTACAGCTTTTAGAACTTCCTGTGCTTGATCATATATCAGATTAATAAGTTGAGATATGAATGAGCCTTCTTGGCTTCACAGACAGCCACGTCGCTCCACTTTCAGCAAGCAAATAAACCAGGAAACCTTCAATTGAGTATGGCGTCTGAGCTGGTTAACAACTTTGGAGCAAGCCAGGGCAACTTCAAAGCATGGTTTCCTAGTATGGGCGAAATGGCAAGCTATAGTTCAAGGTTTCAAAACCTTAGACTTGGGTCTGTATGCTGCCCTCCAAGCCTCTCTGTTTGGCACTCAAGACTCAGCCCAGAGTCCCACCCCCTCTTGCCTGGTTGGAATGTGTCCGTCAGCTGTGACATTGCATAGAAAAGGGTGTGTGAGCATGTGTAGAAACTAGCTCACTGTACAAAGGTAACATGTACAGGTGCTGCTATACTCACTTTTGTCTCTGGCCCTGCCTGCAGAAGGGAATGTGGCCTCCAGCTGAACAAGGTTCCTCAACAATGCTGTAGTTCATTGAAGACTTTGTGGTCACTCACCTGCCGAAAGGAAGAGCTTAAAGGGCTCTCTGTGCACGTGGCCAAGAAACTTACCCATCTCTTAACTTATTAAGCTAAGAGATGATGTCCAAAGTCCCAGTTGGGGCCATCGGAGAGGTTGTCCTGTCTGGATCCATGCCAGTAGCAGATAGGAGCATAGAAACTTGCTCTGTTTTGGCACTCACTCATTGAGTGAGTCCAGATAAACAATGAGGCCCCGGATGGGAAATCAGCTGTGGGATTCAAATCCCTGTGAGCATGAACTGTAACCAAGTTCTTAACTGGAGGGTAGGCACTTCCTGGGTTAATTATACAGTGTTTACTCTTTCTTTGTAAAGGAACACTCCCAAGTTATTTGGCATAGCAATGAAGTTTAGTGTTTTATGGTCAGGTGCCCTGTTAATTATTTAACATGAAAATAGCAGCCAAAAGCAAAGGCCAGTTGTACGGCTGACATTTCATTGCCTATTTTTAATACAGTGGTACCTTGGGTTACAGACACTTCAGGTTACAGATGCTTCAGGTTACAGACTCCGCTAACCCAGAAATAGTACCTCGGGTTAAGAACTTTGCTTCAGGATGAGAACAGAAATGGCGCGGCGGCAGCAGGAGGCCCCATTAGCTAAAGTGCTATCTCAGGTTAAGAACAGTTTCAGGTTAAGAACGGACCTCCAGAACGAATTAAGTTCTTAACCCGAGGTACCACTGTGCAGCTGATAAATAAATTCAAATACACTGTTTCGTATAGTTCAACATTTAATGGAAAAGTAATGCAGCACTTAATGCAGTGCTCAAAGGCATTGCATTATTAAAACATATTCAACACAATGGGATAGAAACAAGAATAAAATATGTCAGGTATTATGTAAAAGTGAAGACGCTACTGTCGATGCAATGGATGAGCTTTGGCTAAAAACTGCCATCACAAAAGAGAACCACATGAATAGCTCTATAGCAGTGCACAAAAATGTCAACTTGGTCCAATTACAATATAAACATAAAAGATGTGAAGAAGAATCAGGAGCTGTACTTCTGTGCGATATACTTTTGCATAATGCTATGGAGCATTTATATACATTTGTATATATTATGTATTAATGCAACAACTGTATGCCCAAGAGCATTTAATTATCTATTAAGCTTGAAAATAGAACCAATTCTGAAATGAGTGGAGATTTAATATTGTAGTAAAGCACTTGTTGATATCAGTGAGTGCTTGAAGCTATTTTTTGATTTAGGCATATTGTGCACAAATAAGGCCTGCCTCTAAAGCAGGGGTAGTCAACCTTTTTATACCTACCGCCCACTAATGCATCTTGCTTGATGGTAAAATTTCTTTACCGTCCACCAGTACTCGATGGAAGGAGGATTCAGCTTGTGCCGGAGAACCCCCTACCGTCCACCTAGAATCCTGAAACGCCCACTAGTGGGTGGTAAGGACCAGGTTGACAATCCCTGCTCTGAAGGTTCACAGAGAGGAGGAACATCTGGTGTAGCACAGTGGCTAGGAATGGGAGTCAAAAAGTCACAAGTTCAAATTTGAGCCGACACGCACTCATTGAGTAATCTACTCTCTCTCAGCCGCAGTCTGGCCTCTGCAACAGGAGGTTAATAATTCTGGCCTCATTTGAACACTGGAAATATTTTTCTTCTTCCACCTTTGGTGTTATCATTCTCATTCCAATTGTGCCCGTAAGCTGTGTAGTTTGGCTGAAGGTGCCATTGGAATGGCAGTTCTCCATGGGTCATTGTCAGATTGGCGGGTGGGGATGGGGAGTGCTGAGCATTCCTCCTGCATGCTCCTTGATGTGGGCTGGTTGCTGGCTTCCTCTTTCTTTGCTATTTATAATCTGCTCCGCAGTTTTATGGACCTGAATTGTGTTCTAGTGCGATGAATTGTGGCTTTATTTTCAACTGGAATTGTGCCTGTTGCAAGCCAAGCCCTCTTCAGGCTGGATTTGCATATATCGCAGTGCTGCTTGCTCCAGGTGGCTGCAGCTCAGCCTGTTAACTTCCCTCAAGGATTGTCCCAGTGATATCTTAAAATCCCCTGCTTTTTCTGATAAAAACACAAAGAGATAAAAATGTCCTTTTTTAGCACAGGGTGAACCAGCAGCTTCTTTTCTCTGCGCTGAAAGCATGGCAAATCAGGTTCTTTGGCTGATTCTGAGCTCTTAATGTGGTGGAAGACAAAAAAAAAATGTTCTTCCATCAGAGAAATTATTGAAATTACAGAATGAAAATTGAAATGTGTGTGAGAAGGGCTGAGCAGGTGGGGGCTGGAATGTGAAGGTTATGTTTGCAAGACAACCATGGCAGAAAGACGGAATGGCACGTATGCAAGAGCTATTGCCATAACTGTTTAGGGCAAAGGAAGGAGGAAAAGATAAGAGAGTTGTTATGCCTCGTGATTAAACCGGTAGAAACTGGTAGGTGGAAGTATTGCCATATATGGACATTACTACCTCTTTGCTTCCCTTTGCTTGTAAGCGTGTAAATGCTTGTGCACATTTCGTATTTGGTGTGCCACCTTCCAGCTACCTGCTGGTTGAGCTTGTTTCACATCGGCCTTGCCACGCCTGAATAAGCATCCTGTTTGAGTGACAATTTGGGTCTGGATTCTGTTGGCTGTTTCAGGCAGCCAATAGAAGCCCAATATTTTCCCAAACTTCACTTGTGTGTGTCTGTGCCATGCAGAGTTTTAGAAGCCTCTGTCAAGTCCCTTCCCTACTCCAAGTTGTCTCTTCTTCCTAAAAGAAAAAGCCGCATGCCAGGGGTGTGTGGCCCTCCAGGCCTTTCTGCCTGGCACTTGGAGCTCAGACCATACCACACCCTGCCCAGCCTTCCTCCCCACCTTCCTTGAGTGCCTGTTCCTGGCCGTAATTGTCTTCAAACTCCAATAATGACCCTTGCTTGCCTGGAATGGAGAGCAGGCAGGATTGCATGGCTTTGTGGAAACCACTTTACGAAGGCAACTCCATAGGTTGCCTGGAAGGGAATGCGACTGATGGGCTCAAAAGGTTTTCCAGCTCCTAAGTCTTGTAGGGAAGATCCCTGAGTCACATTGGCTTTGCTTTCCTGTTCGGTTTCCTGCTCTATAATATCCTTTTTGACATGAGATAACCAGAGAGAATAGCTCAGTTGGTTAGAGCATGGTGCTGATAATGCCAAGGTTGTAGGTTTGATCCCCATGTGGGACACTTGAGTATTAACTGAATTGCAGGGGGTTGGACTGGATGATCCTCAGAGTCCCTTCCAAATCTATGATTCTATAAACCCAGACTGCCTTTATTATGAGGAATGGCTAAGGGAGCTGGGCATGTTTAGCCTGGAGAAGAGGAGGTTAAGGGGGGATATGATAGCCATGTTCAAATATATAACAGGATGTCATATAGAGGAGGGAGAAAGGTTGTTTTCTGCTGCTCCGGAGAAGCGGACACGGAGCAATGGATCCAAACTACAAGAAAGAAGATTCCACCTAAACATTAGGAAGAACTTCCTGACAGTAAGAGCTGTTCAACAGTGGAATTTGCTGCCAAGGAGTGTGGTGGAGTCTCCTTCTTTGGAGGTCTTTAAGCAGAGGCTTGACAACCATATGTCAGGAGTGCTCTGATGGTGTTTCCTGCTTGGCAGGGGGTTTGACTCGATGGCCCTTGTGGTCTCTTCCAACTCTATGATTCTATAACCAGAGCTTGTACATGCTGTATTCCAAATGTGGTCAGTGTGTACCGTTATATAGACCTGTGCGCTTTACTTGAAACATTGCAGACCATCCTGTCAAGAGAGACCCCTGGCCAAGCAAGCAGGCAGAGGCTTTCAGCCCAGGCCACACACTCCAGTATGTAATGCTTATGTGTTGCTTTGTTCGCGTGACACATGTAGGCACTAGCGCTGCAGCATTACAGCATTTTTCATGGGTGGATGGGAGCAGGCACCAGGTGGAGCAGTAAGGGAACAGTGGTGAGATGTTTGAGGGTAGAGCTGTGTGTGCCCTGCAGCCTGCCCAGCGCTTCCTCAGCTAACCAGCTGCCCTTGGGTGTTGTGGAAGACCCAGTTCCATTGCCAGTGTTAAATTGGATCCAACTGCATGCCTGGTTGACTTCTGTACATGATTTTATTTTCAGGGGGGAGGCATCTTGTCTTGGACTGGCCCTGGTCTAGCAACAGGAGACCTGGATAGGTTGGAGGTCACATACTAGATCAGGCAGGCAGGGTAGCATGGGAAAAGGACAGGACAGTGACAATTTGCAGCTGGTTCTTCTGGAAAGTTGTGGGTTTTTGTTAAGGCTGTGGGGTCAGCTGACAAAACTCAGATAAGTACTGCAGCCAAGAGAGCAGCCTTGAACCACAAAATTGGGACTGCCTGGCTGGCAGGAGGTGCAGGAGGTAAGGCACTGAAGAGCTATGGTTGGAGGTCCCAGTTTGAGACATTCCTCATCCTTAGCACCTTACCCTTACATAACGTCAACGGTGAGCCAGAAGCGATCAGATTTCCACAGCACCTTTTTAATAGTTTCCCACTGAGCATTAATTTGAACACCCAGTGGGTACTCTGTTGTAACACCGCCAACGTTTTGAGAATGATTGATTTTGCGTGGTGTGTTTTGCGTCTGCGATTGCATTCACTTGTGCTGTTTAGGTTTCTTTCTTCATACCACCCACGACATTTAAAATGCCGGAATAGACTCTTCATTGAGCACCACGCAGCTAGGAGCACAGCTGCCAACTGGAAGGCTTATTTACTTTATGAATCAGGTGGCAAGTTGATACCTGTGGTGGAGGCAGCCTGACCTGATGAATTCCCCCGAATAACTGAAGCCTCTTATTTCCACAGCCATCAAGGCTGATGACTGCCCTGCCTGGGTGCTGGCGTTCCTTTGGTTGTGTGTTTCATTCATTGGGCACTGGCTCCTCCAGCATTTGCTCTGTCCTTTGGAAATAGAACAGTAGCTTTCAGATTGTATTTTGTGGGTGCTTATTGGGGGTTCTGCACCAAGTAACTTGGTCGTAAGGACATAGCAAGAGCCTCCTGGATCAGGCCAATGACCCATCTAGTCCAGCATCCTGTGCTTATAGTGGCTGAACAGTTGCTGGTGGCAAACCAGCAAGCAGGATTCGAGCACAAGAGCAATCTCCCCTCCTGTGGTTTCTGGCATTGGAAGCATTGCCAGTGTGGTGTAGTGGTTAAGAGCGGTAGCCTCGTAACCTGGTGAACCGGGTTTGCTTCCCCGCTCCTCCACATGCAGCTGCGTGGTGACCTTGGGCCAGTCACACTTCTCTGAAGTCTCTCAGCCCCACTCACCTCACAGAGTGTTGGTTGTGGGGGAGGAAGGGAAAGGAGAATGTTGGCCGCTTTGAGACTCCTTCGGGTAGTGATAAAGCGGGATATCAAATCCAAACTCTTCTTGCTGTTTCCAACTGTGGAGGCAGAACCATAGCCATTGTGGGCAAGTAGCTTGAAAGACTGCCTGCTATTCCTGACCCTCCCTTGCTATACACAGCAGCAAAGGGCACGCTATCTGTTTTGTAAAGTAGGCTCCACAGGCTAACTTGAGAATACATGTGTGTTCTTTGACTTGGTTTTCTTGGTCTTACAGAGCGTATAGCCAGCCACCTGTCTTTATATTCTTGGATTTCTTCCCCCTGCTTATCTTATGTAACCTTGGCATGGTGAAGGTCTCGTGGAGCTAAAACCGTGTCCCCAAGTTTCTTTTACTTTCTTCCATGAAGCTGAAAGCTGCCATTCACTCCTAATTGAAAAATTGCAATGTTGCAGTTGGACCCTGTTGTGTGAGCTGCATCTGTTCTCTCCTTCTTGCACTGGGTAGAGCTAGGCATCCATCAACAGAAACGTCTCCCGGGGGTAGGAGGGCTGTGTCTGCTTGCACAAAGCATATAGAGATGCACTGCACCCCCCTCAGGTCCCTGCAATATACAATAACGCCATTGTGGAGTATTTAAAGGATTAATTTAGCAGAAAGATGGTAGGGTCAAAAGCCAAGCTGTTGGAAAACAATGGAAATAAGTGTTCTGTTTCAATTCAAGCCTGGTAATTGGATCATTCCTAGCAAACAATGTTTGTGCAAATATAAATCTAAAAGGCCCGCAGTTCAGAGAGGGAATAGTTTTTCTTGACTTTTGTCTTGGCACCCTTCAGAGGCAGCCCAAGGGGAAGGGCTGCTATTGTGAGCTGCTATCTTTATCGTAAGCAGTCCCAAATCCATCTAGAGCTCCTCTCACTCCACCTTCAGACCTGGAGCCTGGATTTTAACCCTGTGACAAACAAGAAGGCACTCCTGAATGAGGTGGATCTCTGTTTTATTAAATCTTACCATTTAAGAGCCTAGAAATACAAGGGAAGAGGAAAAGGGAGCAGTTCAGAAAGCTAAAATTAAAGAGATTTTTTTTAATTAACAAAAGCAGACATTTAAATTTAAAATGGCCATTAGTTTGGCCAATTTTATACCTGGTGGGAAAAGAGTAGGGAAGGCACATAATCCCAGGAGCTCTTTACTTTGGCCAGTGACTGGTGCCAAACCTATGGGCTTGTCGAAACCTGGGGTATTTTTAACATAGAGGGGGAAGCAGTTATTCTAGGTAAGGGTTTTTTGGCTTGCTGGGTGGCACTGGTAAATTGTAAGTGTCAGGTTGTACAACACTGGAATTTAAATTAAACTGCTTCTCCACCTCCTTGGCCCTGATAGCTCAACTGCAATTGGGGTTTGGTTGTTCTTGAAACACCACATTTCTATGACTCTGCAAACAAAGTTGCTTGACAGCCTTTTTCTACGCCATTGCAGTATAAACCTTCCTACTGAGCTATAAGAGTCACTTGAGTTTAAGGATTTCATTCTGGTTGGCAGTTAGTGTTTTTCTTTTTTCTTTTTTGGTAAGTTGATGACTGCCTTTAACTCCTAGGGAATGTGTCAGGCACAAAGTTGCAAGATTTATATCATCTGAAAGCTGGGGCTCCCATTTTTCAGAAAATATTAACTTCTAGACTTTGCCTTCTTGTTATGCACCATGTCAGACAGTGCCACTGCCCTTGTTCCAGCTGTGTATTTTGTCAAGGTGCTTAGACTAAATATAGCCAACGCTAGTCATTGTATCTAGCTGTCAGGGTCTTGGGTAGTGCATTCTGTGCATGCCATTCTCCATTGCCAATGTCCTGAGAAAGCTTTGGCTTGTTAATTCATTAAACTTGGATTGTTAGTACTGGGTGTTTTATGTATTTCTTCTGGTAACCAATTCTTGCTTTCTGTGGTTTCTTACTGTTAGGTAACAGATAGCAAAATCAGTGCCATAGAATATTGCACAGGGCCATGGATGATTGGCCTATTCATTCTATATTTGGCTTGCAGTGTTCTTGCTGTGAGCTTCAGAAGTGCGTGTCACATAGAACTTCCATCTCTGTTTGGTAAAGAATAAAAATGTGCTCAGCTCCGCCCTGGGGAGAGAGAACTAGATCAAATCGGTGTGCTTCTGAAATGTCCAGTTTTGGCTCCCAGGCTCAAAAACATTTAGGCAAGAAAGTGAGCTGCCATTGCATACCTTCAGGAGCATGGTTTTATACCACTAAGCTGGTCAGACATTTCATTAATATAGTGGTTTTCCTATGTTTCGTTTAGCAGGAAACTAGGTTTTGTGACCAAGTCACAATAGGAATCTGAAGCTAGTCTTGACTTTCTTGATTGTTCCTGTATCATATCCGTATTTCCAAATATGTGTCTCATTTGCTTACTGCATTACATTTTGAGATGTACACATACAGTCACGGGAAAAAGAAAGTACACCCTCTTTGAATTCTGTGGTTTTACATATCAGGACATAATAACAACCATCTGTTCCTTAGCCGGTCTAAAAACCTCAGATGAACAACAACATATGACAACACACATGTGTTGTTGTTCATCCGAGGTTGTATTTACCTAATTTTAAGACCTGCTGAGGAACAAATGGTTATTAGTATGTTCTGATCCGTAAAACTACAGAATTCAAAGAGGGTGTACTTTCATTTTCCCATGACTGTACTCACTTAAAGCGTCTTTAAGTGAACGCTTACAAAGATAATCTGTGGCGCAGTGGTAACCAACATGATGACCTTTGAATGTTACTGGACTACGACTGCTGTCAATCATACCTGAGCTCATGGGAGTTGTATTCCAACAATATATGGAGGGGACCGCAGTGCTTACCCCTGCTGTAGAGATCCTCCAAGAATAAAGGTGAAAAATGTGTAAAGAATGTATGCTATTAGGTATGTGGAAAGAGAGAGGGAGAATGAGAGATCATCCCTGGTTATTCTCACCCCTTCCAAAATGAAGGTTAAAAATTACTGAAAATAAATTGTAGCTAGGAATCTATTTCCCCTAAAGCACATGGTATCATGAAGTGACAGTACTAGTACACTTTCTTCAGAACTCACAGGGCTATTAGGGTTTATAAATGTTCAGGGAGGGAGCTAGGGGATCATGAACTTTCCCCTCCCCTCCTCTTTCAATGCAATGTCCTTCAACTTACCCCATTGTAACCAGGGGCATCCTTATTTCTGCTTATGGAACCCAGTATCAGATTCACAATGCTTAAGCTAGCGATGCATACATGCCAGCAAAAAATAGGTAGAAAAGTGGTCACAACCTGCTGTATGTTGTGAATGTAGGGACGGCAAAGGAAGCATTTCATAAAAGTGCACCGGGGTATCTTCTGATTCCTATATTTTGCTTACTAAAAAATATTCAGCCCACCTGTCCTATGATTTTTCAAAGTGACTCACAAGCTGACAAGGAACAGTATCCTTTAAAAATTTTAGATGCCAATGAAACACCAGATTGTAGCTGAGTACCTTTGAACTCTGCAAGCAGCAGGAACTGAGAAAACGGATAAAGAGGGAATATGAAGCATGGTCTCTTCTGAGGATCTTGGTGTGTGTATATTGAGAGAGAAGATAGTAACCAGAGCAGAAGCACCTTTTAAAAACAGCACTTGGAATTGCATCCAGAAACCAGTTGGGAAACCAGCTGTGTTCACAATGGATCGGCCCATATTGTCCTATCTCTGTGACATAAGAAAAAGTTAAAACTCCTGTTTTCTGTTGTGTAGTAGCTTCATGTCTGTGAAAACGCTACTCTGGTATTTCCTTGTAGAGGAAGATAGCGTGTCTCGACATCATGGGCGCAATATGCAGCAAAGAAGGGTGTAAAAAGGTAAAGGGACCCCTGACCATTAGGTCCAGTTGTGCTCAACTCTGGGGTTGCGGCACTCATCTCGCTTTATTGCCCTAGGGAGCCGGCGTACAGCTTCCGGGTCATGTGGCCAGCATGACTAAGCCGCTTCTGGTGAACCAGAGCAGTGCACAGAAACGCCGTTTACCTTCCCGCTGGAGCGTGCTTTCGAACTGCTAGGTTGGCAGGAGCAGGGACCGAACAACGGGAGCTCACCCCGTTGTGGGGATTCAAACCACCAACCTTCTGATCGGCAAGTCCTAGGCTCTGTGGTTTAACCCACAACGCCACCCGCGTCCCAAGGAAGGATGTAAATTGTAATAAATGAATGGCTGTTTTTGTAAAGTTCTTCTGTCTTTGTTAAGTGTGTCTAGGAGGGTATTGAGTGAAGCATTTAGGATTTGATAACATATTTTCACTGCAATGTTTTCCAGCAATGCTATTGGCCCCTTGGTTGCCCTCTGGCTTATTTATGACAAGGGTGGCGTACTGCAAGAAGCTCCTACCCCCGTATGGCTGCTCCTTTACGGGGGCGTTGGCATCTGTGTGGGCCTCTGGGTCTGGGGAAGAAGAGTGATCCAAACAATGGGGAAAGACCTCACGCCCATCACGCCGTCAAGGTACGTGCCCATCTCCTGCATCTAATTGCCCTGGCATCTCATGCTAGCTATGCCGTAGCATATGTGTGCCTAATGATTTCTGGTTTTGATCGGAATAGTGATGTACGTAGCTTTCTCTTTAAACTAATGGCACTGTTGTTTGCATTGTTGAGGTCTAGTTGGGCAGAATAGCCTACCAATGTCTGAATAGCATAGAGAGGCATAAATTAGGAAATGGCAAAAATTGAAGTAGTTTTCCATGTGCTTCTGAATGATTAAAAAAAGAAACGAAACCTGTGATTTTTTTATTTGCTTTTAATGCATACTAGACCTCTGCTGCTAACCTGTTTACTAATTGAGCATGATTTATTGGAATGTAGTATAGGTTGTCAGTAGCAGTGAGCTGCTCAGCTAATTTAATGTGGATGTGTGTGTCCAGTTTTTGTTATTCAGCAGCTCTTTGTTCTCTCACTTAATATAACTCAATGACCAAAGATCAGTCGGAGGGAACCGGTTGGAGACGATGCTGGTAAGACGTTGGCATGTTGCATGGAGTCAGCCCAGACTGATTGATTACATTTTTTTTAAGAAAGAGTGACTGTGAAGTGTTTTTTTTATGCTTCCTGCAGTGGATTCACTATTGAGTTGGCTTCGGCGTTCACAGTTGTGGTAGCTTCCAATATTGGACTTCCTGTCAGTACTACACACTGCAAGGTATGCCTTTGCCATGTGACTGCAGCCAGGCCGGTCTGGACTGTTCGTGTTTTAACTCTGCTGCCCAGATCAGTTTATAGCGGCATGATACCACAATGAGGAAATGCACACGTCCATTTCACATCCAAGAACTCTCCCCACCCCACCCGTCACTCCACTCATATGAATGGAACAGCCCTTAGGTTCCCTTCTCAGACATGTCACCCTTTTTGCACATTGCGGAATCAAAGTATTTCCTCTCCCCCACAAACACTTGTTATCAGATTATTCCCTACACATCCACATGGAATTCGGCATAGTGGTATGTTCCCCGAAAGAGCAATCCATCAACCATTGGCCTTTTGCATTGCCCGTTAATTTCAGAGGGCCTTTTGCAGAAGGAAAGATTGGTGGGGTTGCACACCAGGAACCGTCTAATCTCGATGTTTTCACATGGTCATGGAACTGCACATGAGAACATTTAGGAATAATGACACCAGCCCAAATGTTTTAGAGTGTAGTAGGGGCGGATGGCCCGAGGCGTTTTGACGCCTGAGGCAGGAAATCCAAGTCGCGCCTGGCTATTGGAATTAAAATAACGAACCAAAAATCTACATTGTGCTGCCCTTGACTGGTACACCAAAATTTGCTGCCATGCACGGTGGAGTTGGCCCTGAATAGCAGTAACTTTTTCCTCAGGTCATGCCATGTGAACGTTGATCTGCTGCACCCTTCTTTGTCCAGAGGTTCTGACGCTGTTCATCGTTCATTCTTCTACTTTCCTGATGAATGCATGGCATGGGATTTCCTGTGTGTCGCTCTTACACTTCAAAATCTCCATCTGTCTCTTTTTTATTTCTTTACAGTGGATTTTGCATTGAAGTAATGTGTGCGCTAACCGTACTTGTAGCCTCAAATGTGGGTATTCCAATAAGCTCCACTCATTGCAAGGTATTGGAGTCTGCAGTGGTCACGTCGATTAAACACATGCTCAATCTTTAAAGAAAAAGAAACAAATAACAAATGCTGATTCCCCCACATCCCATTTTGCCTTCATTAAGTAATATACTACCAAGCAAGTTTTAAAATTGAAAAAAAGCAATAATTAACATATAGAAATTTAGTTATTTACAAAATTATACAGAACATGTGAGTTGCAAATTCTCCCCAAAGGTTAGAATGTTGGGGAGGTTTTCTTTTTTTTAAAAAAAAGAGAGCGAAAAGAAAAAGAACGTATATATTATATTATTACTCTTATTGCTGTTTATAAAACACATTGTAGTATTCATTTTGTAGTGTATTAACAAGCAACAGTCATCATCTTAACTTTTAGTATCCTTGCTTCTATATAAACTTAAACTTCTTAGTATTAGCTTTCAACTAACAGTTTCATACATTTTATTTTCTTCCCCCAGATCTGCAGTTTCTCATATGTAACTTTCATGGATTGTGGTGTGCATAATTTTAGGAGCATACATCACAAGTCATTGAAATACAGAACCGAGCATTCATGTATCTGAAGGCAAATGGTATTTGATTTCAAGCCAATCGGAACTAGAAGGTCTATACAGATTGTAGCTTTTCAGTGATTAATCTGCTTTTCTAACCTGTATTCTCATAAAAACGTAGTCAGCTAAACTTTGATAATGTTTAGAAATGGGTTAACTGATGCCAGTGTCACTGATACCCTCTAAAAATTGGGGAAATTCATGAAACAAAACAGAGCAAAAGTTGAATATTTTTTTTAATTGGTTTTAAAATTAAAATTAAATTGTGGTACTTTTCATATACATCACTATTCATGCTTTCAGACCTGCCCCCCTTTTTTATTTTAGCATATATCCTATCTCTACCACTGCCCACTCTCCATTTCTCTTATTCTCCTCCCCCAAGCCCCCCCAATCGCTTTAAGAAACACCCTAACAAATAAAAAGAGAGTCGCAGTGGGGTGACCAATCTGCTAGAAGGAAAATCCGTAGCAAGTAATGAGGTAGAAGAATAGACAAAATCTCTAGGAGCTGATAACCGTTCATGTATGAACATATCACTATTCTCCTTAAAGAAGATTGCAATATATTGTAATATGAGGTCGAGTTAAACGATGTTTTTAGATACCATGATTACAGTCACACGTCCATTACCTTCAGGGCTAGAAAAGAGTGGGGACCTACAATTTCATAAACAGAAGCCAATCCCATCCCCACAATCCAGGCAAAGATTCCATGTAAAGAAGCCATCTGGAGTGGCAATTGAATTTTACGTCCACATTGGTGACAGAACTGTGTTTTCTGCTGCACCTAAGAACAACAGGATAACTTAAATGGTCTTGGAAGGCTGCAGGGCACACCGAGCTCTTGTCATCCTAAACATTATCACTGCTCACTCACCACTTTGCCTGGTGTCTGCGCAGATAAATGTTCCAGTGTTGCTGCACTAGTGTCAGCAGTCGTCATGTGAGCACAACCTTGCATTTGCACACATGATTCCTGCTGGTGGTGTAGGTCTTGTTCTGGAAAGGAACAGGTGAAACTTCCCCAGGCAAAAATGAAGAACAAAGCATGTTTGTGACTATTCATTTTTATCTTCCTGTCTAGGGGCGATGACTGACAAGTGAGAAAAGAAATTTATTATAGACGTTGAATGTTAGCCAGTAACTTCTTACTGTAACTATGATCAGAACTTGTGGCTTTCAGAACTGATTTGATCAGAGATAGTCCTATGACTAACTCTTGGTTACTAAGTCTGAGCTATGCCAGCAACACTAATTGGATTGAATTAATCCCTTGGAATGTTGCATCCTAGTAATTTATCTGACAATCCGTAAATCTCTAGAAAATTTTAACAGAGGTGGATATGCCTTTCTATTTGCACGGACTCTTCAGGAGGCAGAAGGGATAGACAAGTGAAGTAGTCATTATCCTGATACAGTTTTTATTTCTATATAGCTGCCATTGCCACTGTAGCATATATGGGCCCTTCTTACATTAATTCAGCAGTGTTCAAATCTGTGGACAGTCATTACAGTAAGAAAATGTGGTTTTCACTACCATATCCCTTTTGAGGAGAGCCATAGCTTAGTAGCAAGCACATGTGCTGCATCCAAGAGGTCCTTGATTTAGTCTCTGCCATTTCCAGCTAATCAGGATGCGGGTGACGCTGTGGGTTAAACCACAGAGCCTAGGACTTGCCGATCAGAAGGTCGGTGGTTTGAATCCCTGTGACGGGGTGACCTCCCTGCTGCTCAGTCCCTGCTCCTGCCAACCTAGCAGTTCAAAAGCATGAAGTGCAAGTAGATAAATAGGTACCACTACAGCGGGAAGGTAAACGGCATTTCCATGCGCTGCTCTGGTTCGCCAGAAGCGGCTTAGTCATGCTGGCCACATGACCCGGAAGCTGTACGCCGGCTCCCTTGGCCGATAAAGCAAGATGAGCGCCGCAACCCCAGAGTCGGTCACGACTGGACCTAATGGTCAGGGGTCCCTTTGCCTTTACTATTTCCAGCTAAGAAAGATCTTGGGTAGTTGGGCTGAGAATTACTTCTTTCTGCTTGAGGTCTTGCTGGTTGCAGTCAAAGAAGGCCAGATGGACCAGTATCTGTTTCTAAGGCAGCTTCATATGTGTTACATGTAGACTGTTCTAGTTATTTGGATGGGGGCAGGGGAGTTTGGGAAGAGAGCAACCAAATGTGTTGTTTCAGATAATTCTGTATGTTACTGTACCACTTACCGTATTTTTCGCTCTATAGGACGCACTTTTCCCCCCTCCAAAAATGAAGGGGAAATGTGTGTGTGTCCTATGGGGTGAATGCAGGCTTTCGCTGAAGCCTGGAGAGCGAGAGGGGTCGGTGCGCACCAACCCCTCCCGCTCTCCAGGCTTCAGGAAGCTATCCGCAAGCCTTCGGAGCGCGGCGGGAGTTCCCGCCGGGCTCCGAAGGCTTGCGGATAGCAGCCTGCAGCCCGGGGAGTGCAGTGCCAACTCCCACTGTGCTCCCTGGGCTTCAGGCAGCTATCCGCAAACCTTTGGAGCGCTCCCCCAGCCCGCAAGCTCCAGGAGTGGCGGCAAGGCTACGCAACCTTGCCTCCGCTCCTGGACCTGTTCTGGGGGCTGGGGTCGGGGACAGCTTGGGCTTCTCCCGCCCCAGCCCCAGCCCCGCGGCTAAAAACGAAGCCGCGAGCAGCCTCTCCCGGCTGGAGAGTTTGTGCATGGCTAAAGAGGAAGCCAAAACAGGATGGATCCCACTGGCTGTCTTGGCTTCTTTGCTCTTTGGGGCTGGGGGGGAAAATAATTTCCCCCCTTTATTCCCCCCCCCCCTAAAAACTAGGTGCGCCCTATGGTCCGGTGCACCCCATGGAGCGAAAAATACGGTAATTTGGTGCACCTGATCAGTCAATTCCAGCCAGCTCCAAACTTTCTTGGAAGGGAATACGAAGCCTTCTTATTTAGCGTCCTTCCTTTCACAAATGGCTTCCTCTTGTTTGCAGAATCTCTTCTCCAGATGCTCTCTGACAAGAGGAAGGCAGAACATGATAGTGTCTCAGTTGTACTCAGCCCTTAGGGAGAAATGTAGGGTCATAAGAGGAAAACCTTGGCAATACAAGAAAACAAACTGTGGACTTAATGGCACTTAGAAGGGAAATTGGGTTAAGCAGTTAAAATAAATGGCAGTTGCTCACATAAGACAAATCACAACCCATTATTTGAGATGTGAAAATATAGTTATTCCTTTGAGCAAATATATTGTATTAGAAGCCTTCATCCAGAGAACAGCTGCAGGCAAACTCTAAAATGGCAGTGATCAGAACAGGAAAAACACATACTTCTTCTATTTGCCAGAGTGATAGAAGATTTGTCAGCCCTTTTGGCATATCTAAGATAACATACCAATAGCAGGGATGGAGGAACACTAGATTTGCAGCTTGCTAGAAAAAGAACTCTTGCTCTTTCCACGATGGGGCTCAAAGCTGGACAAAATATCGAAGCTCCAACCTCAAGGCATATGCTCTTCACTTATGGAATCCAACTTTACCACCAATTTCCTATATTCTGCCACATAATTAATTGCCACTTTCTATGTCACGTGTAGCAAACTTCTGGGCATTTTATTTGTTATAACTTGCTAGTTGTAGTTTTTGTTACTGAGTGGTGGTTTTTTTGTTTTTTTGTTTCGTGTTTAAATTACCTTGTTAAGTTGCTTTGGTTTCCCCTGAAAAGCAACATATATTACTTTAAATACATAAAACACGGTTGATTCTCTTATTTGTAATGGTTAGCCTTTCCTTTGAAAGGGGCATGGCTCAAAACTGCTATCACAGGCCTTAAATTAAGGAGAATGTCGTGTAAAACTAGAAATAATAAGAATAAGAACTGCCATGGAATCCAAATTATGCAAGGCACTAATAGGTATGTTTCCCTGTCCCATCCCAAATAGTTTTCAGTTTGTGTGATAAATTCACGTAGAGCTCTTCTCCTGTGTGAAAAGGAAGCAGGAATTCCAATTTCAGATACTTTGTAAATCTGGGCTTCAGCTGACTGGCATTGGTTTTGTCATAGCTAGGGGCCCATAAATGTGTTTGCTGGTTGGTCAGCAGTTGCCACAAGTCTTTCTGGCAATTGCAAGTCCCTGGAATACCCAGTTCAAAGTGGGAGGCTTGCGTTACAAAGAAAATGGAGGGGATGAGGCGTTTCATTTTCGTGAAACGGATTGATCTTGGTTAGTGCCAGGCTTTGGAGATACTTGGCGCATCTCCTGCTGCTTCCACGTGCCTCCAAAGCATGGTTTGGTTTGGCCCAGCCCTTCCCCTGAATCGCCTTACATGCCAGAGGGATGGTAGGGCGATGGTGATCACAGATAATATCTGGTTACTAAAAGCAAACCCAAATTTATGGACCCCAGGTCATAAAGCATCTGTTGCCCATGTTAAGATGCCTTTAATTCTGATTCCCTTCTCAAACTTCCAAGGTTGGTTCTGTGGTGTCAGTTGGCTGGATACGCTCCAAGAAGGCTGTTGACTGGCACCTCTTCCGCAATATCTTTGTCGCCTGGTTTGTGACTGTCCCCGTGGCTGGCTTGTTCAGCGCTGCCATCATGGCTCTCTTCATGTACGCCATCCTGCCGTACGTCTGACATCGCTGCTCCTTCCATGGAAGAAGAAGGGGGTGCCTCTGAGATGAAAGAAGCAAAGGTCTCCCCTCCAGAGCGCAGAGCTCCCTATTTAAACCATGCAGTAAGAGCTAATCAGCAAGGATTTGTCGTCAGAATCTAACATCTGCTGTACATAACATCTGTGTCATTGGTGACATAACATGTGGTGCCGTTTTCTTATGTATTAAAGAAATATATATATATGCTTACAGTAGGTAACACTACCTTAAGTTATAAGTGAGGTGAAAATAATTGCCTAGAACTTAATCCCTAGTAAAACTTGTACATAATGTATCATTCAGTAGCCATTTTTTAATCTTTTAAAAGAACCTGGGATGTGTTTGTCAGTTTGATAAATGATGAAGCAAAAAGATGAGATTCTTTTTGTAAAAAAAAAAAAGTGCTGTTCAATGATACTGGAAGCAAAGTGCAGAGGTACATTGGCAAAAACTCGGTTCATATCATATTGTTGTGTATAATACTGTATGAACATTGAATTTGTAAATACTTACAAAAATGTAACTTTTTAATGGTGCATTTCCCTCATATATTTTGGATAAGAAAGTTTAGAAAGTACCAAAGAAGGGGGAATAGCTTGTCAGTATTATATTTGTCTATCTGTGTGCCTCTCTCTCTCTCTCTCTCTCTCTTCTCTCTCTCTCTCTCTGTCTCTCTCTCTCCTCACCTTGCAACCCATTTAACTTTCTAATTAAAGTTATTTTCTACCAGTCAGCCACCAGCAAAGCCAGGATAGTATCGCTCATGTTTTACTGTAACAGGTAAAGTGTCGTACTGCTACAGTCTTACGTAAAAAATATCACCCACAGAGGATTTTAGTAAAAGCTCAGCTTCGTTATGTGTCAAACCTCAAATCAAACAAGTATTTTCCACCTCTCGTATATCCAGGTCCAATTCTGCTCTCAAAACAGCCATCTGTCAGCAAGCTAAAGGGAGGGGTTTCAGAAAGGTTTTGCATTGCTTTTTCCTGATGCACCCAGTGTCAACGGTAACTATCTAGGATAGTTTGGGGTGCTAACCAACAGTGTTTGGTGGTTAAGATTTTTATACTACAGTTACCCTCATAACTGGAGGAGGAGTGAATACAAGAACCATTTCTGACCAAGTGTCGGAGCATGTGGAAGGAATCTAAGCTACAGCTCTCCCTGCCAGTTCAGTGCTCACAGGGGAAGGAGCTGCAGTTTGGGTTCCTCTGCTGCCGCCTGGGACTTAGGACATTGCCAAGGGTGCCTGGGAAAAATCACATTGTGACTGCTTCAGAACTGCTAAAGGCAGTGTCCAATACTCAGAAACGTGTTGTCCCTTTTTGAAGAGGCATCCAAGTTTGCCAGTTGTCACACTACTGAAGAGGCCTACAAGGTCTCTGGCCCTAGAACTGCAATTTGTCATAATTTGGTAGATACACATTGATGAACCCCCCCCCCCCAATCTTTACTAGTATAAAGGGACCGTATCAACCTGGCAGACAGTGGTTTGAATCCAGTTCCTCTTGCTATGGGAACCTTGAGTATAGGCTTTTGGGAAGCCTTTGTTGAAAGGAATCTGTGTTCTTGAGCCATTCCCATCTGTTTCCATTGAGCTCATAAATGAGCACTTCCCAGAGGATTTTGCTACTTGTAACAGTGTCCAGGTTGGGTTTACTGGAGGGGGCTTGAGGAGGTCATGCTTGGAGAATGTTGGGAGCCTAGGACTGTTGAAATGCTGCTAAAAAAAATTCGATACATGAGCTTTCTTGGTACTCCATTGTGATCCTTTTTCATTGGTCATTCATTCTAAATTTATAATAAAAGAATACATTGCCCTAGAACTGCTTTCTTGTTTCTTGTTTTTTTTTAAAAAAGATACTGAACCATGTGTTTTTACTATTTACAACCTACTAAGCTGTGGGCGCTTCCTAACTCAAAGCATTGCTTGCTTACTTTGCATTTGTTATAATCCTTTCACTTGCTTTCACTCTGTGTGAGTTCTTGTATAGAAATTTGTAACAATGGCCTGGAAGGGGGGGGGGCACAGAGGAACACACCCATTGGCAAAGCCCAAATAAAGCCAAGCTCTGTGTAAAGCAAACAAAAACTTCCATTTATTTCACTTGGGACTGTTTGTCCCAGGATGAAGATCCCCTTATGAATTACCATAGCACTCTTTCGGTAGTAATCCCGTAATGAACATCTCATACATAAAAATGCAAATGAATGTGCTTCCATGAGCCTAGAGAAAGCGATGCTTGGACGCTGCCGTCACAAGCACACTTGTGCAGAGGAAATCCAAGGAAAATATGTCCTCCTTATTCAAGACCCAGTGCTGCTGTGGTTCTTGGCTTTAAAACTCAACTCTGCATTGTTTTAACAGCACAAAGCACCTGAACATTAACTCATGGCTCATGACAGGATGATATAACCCACTAATGACGCAACCAGCATAATTTAAACCCTTGGTGAACTTTGTACAACAATTTGAGAATGCTTCTCTGCTTGCACATGAAAAGGAGCATGTTCATAAAGCAAACAGATTCTTTCCAGTCTGGAACATAGTCCTTAAGGAGCTTGACAGCTTTTTGGTGTTTACAGAGTGCTCCATGAGCAGAGGATGAGATCAACTGACATATATTTGAACATTCAGTGTACCTTAAGTCTGTTGCAATTCCTGACCTGTGTGACTGTCCATGAGGAATATGAACAAAAGACGTGCTCCCTCTTTTTGGTGTGTTTAGGACAAAAGTGATCCCTAGCAGGGGACTGGGTGCTGTTAACATGCTATCTGGTTATAGCCAACAGTCTTGGCCCCCTCAGCTGCCATGGCAACAGAAGTTTGCTTCATTGCAGTCAATGGGCATAGGTTGCCAACATCTTATCAATAGGCATTATATGTCTCAACAGCTGAAGGTGTGCTTGGCATCGAAGCAAACAAAGCCCTTGGCTTTCAATTCTGTTTATTGACTTGACCCCCACTTTAAATCCCGCTCCAAGCTTCTTCCCAGTAATGCCAGATATTCAAATAGCAGTGTATCATTTGCCTGGTGTGACTTTGAAAAGGCTGCACTCACGATTTATTTTTATTCATGTAGAAGCTTTGTAGCTTGCCTTTTCACACCCGTGCGGAAGGTGGCTCACAGTGTCAAATATAAAAATGCAGTAAAAAGAAAAGCAGAGCAACTGCAAACCAGCAGCAGAAAAAAAGCAATCATGTTAAGAGTCTGATGGTCTTCACCTGTTGCCTCAAAGAAGGGTGCAAGACCTTGCCAGGGAGTGTGTCTTAGAGACAAGGTACCACTACAGAAAAGGCCCTGCGCCCATTTTGCCACCCACACACCTGGGGCAGTGTGTTCAGGATTTGGCAGAAAGCTCAATTGTTTCACTTATTGCAGCTACCAAAAAAAGCAGCAGAGCAAGGGAATATCGAACCATGCAGGTATCATCCCAGCGTTCTGTGGTCTTGCAATAGAACTTCTTTGCAATGGACAAGAAACCATCCAATTGGATGTGGCTTGCACAAAGATTACTTGATGGCTGGATATGTGAAGTTTGGTACCTAGATGTATAAACGGGCTTCAATGAAGGACCCTGAGTATAAATTGTTGATGAAAGTGCTTTCTGTTGGGGGGGTCTAATGACATATAGGCAAAATTCTGAATGTTTCTGTACAATAAAATCACTCAGCAACATCGGCATCTAACAATTAAAATGCTGTTGTATAACATTCACGGATCCTCATTGCGTGTTGCAGAAACCTGGCTGCTAGTTTTCATATGCAGCATATGAGGTAGTAAAACTCTTTCCATGCAGTTTTGCTATGCCATAATAAATTTGTTAGTCTTTAAAGTGTCACTGCAGTTTGTTTTTGCCGTAAAATATTAATGTGACCACTCCTGGAACCACTTCTGGTTAGTACAGTGGTACCTTGGGTTAAGTACTTAAATTTGTTCCAGAGGTCTGTTCTTAACCTGAAACTGTTCTCAACCTGAAGCACCACTTTAGCTAAAGGGGCCTCCTGCTGCTGCCGTGCCGCAGGAGCACAATTTCTGTTCTCATCCTGAAGCAAAGTTCTTAACCTGAAGCACTATTTCTGGGTTAGCGGAGTCTGTAACCTGAAGTGTATGTAACCTGAAGCGTATGTAACCCGAGGTACCACTGTATTTGGGGAGAAGGTATCACACAATTGAATATTCAGCTATATAAACAACCTCTTGCCCATAGAAAGCTAAATATCTGGGAGAACTAGCCCAGCCCTTTCATTGATGTGGTAACTTCATATGAAGTTTCTTTCACGTAGAAGGATTCAGCTGTGCAATCTCCTACAGGTAATGTTAACAGGTAAAAGTCTTAGAACATTTTTACCACCGTATCCACATTTTCTTTTGGACAGGCTAGACTCGCGATTCGATTTCTATCTGGCTGTTGTTTGAACAAAGTGCTGTGTATTCAGCACCTCAGTTTAACTTGGCATTGTGCTATAATGCATCATAGCTTTGGCTGTGCTGCTTTGTCAACATGCCTAAATTCAGTTCAGCTTCTAAACTGATTTCTAGCAGATACATTTGAAGGTCAAGCTAGACAGTGATGGGCTTAGCTTCCCATGCTCCCCCGCCAGACCTCCTTGTGCTCTGTTTTTTCAGACCTTTCCCTCCCAATCTGGATAATTTTTGGTACTGTAAAAATTAAGCCTCCTGCCCTTGCTTAAGACCCAAACAGAAAAGACATGTAAAGAACAAGGACAGTTGTCCCATTGCATTTAGCTTGACTCTGAAAGATGTCTCTGAGGATTTGTCCACAAACTCTTGCACGGTGCATAATTTTGATGGAATCATTCTTGCAAAGTTGAAGGAACATTTTTCTGTGCACTGTTATATAGAAGTACTTTTGATCTTGGCTCTTGATCCAGGATAGTTGGGTGAGAACATCCATTTCTTGGTCACAGGAGAGGAGAACAGGCAGCAAAGGATGAACCCATCTGAAGACGAGAACATGAACTTTGCATCTGAGGGGGTCGTGACATCCAGGAACCACATTCTGACATGTGCTAGGCCCTTATAGGGCAATCATGTAACGTTCTGCATTTTCTGCTGTTGCAATCCCCCCCCCCCCCCCGGTTCTGGGAGAGGCCTCCTCAAAGGCACCATAAATTTGCTATACCTGCCTTGGGGGGCTGGATTAATCATTTCCCGTCTGCAATTTGGAACTTCATGGGCAAGCTGAACTTTCCATGTATCTGCAGAAGCAGCTGAATAACTTGTAGCTTAAACAGACTTCTCACCTCCAGGTCAACTTGTCCCTTCTGATAAATGTGATCTGTCTTTTCCACCTGGGCGAAGCCTTTTGCTGTGTCACCGAGGCATATAAATCTCTGCTAATCTCTTGATTCATAGTATGGCTTTCCTTAATTTTAATGCCAATGTGTTGCTGCAAGAGTGAGGCCTTCAGGCTGCAGAGACAGAACCTCTGGATTTAAAGGCATAAATCCCCCCACAGTGAGCTACGGGAACAGCTGCCTCACTTGAAACAAGCACATGGTGTGTAACCGTATCTGCAGTAGGAAAATGTTATGCAGAAATAGCATTGGGGTAGATGTTTCTAAACAATGTCGCCGCTTCTAGAGTTACAGTCCTGCCTAACATGCACTTAATGTGCGGCCAGTCATGGGACGCTCGCAGGAACTGTTCTGGTGTGTACAAAATTAAGAACAAAGCTCCGGCTTACCCAGAGCTTAGCTCCGGCAGATGCCGCTGCTAAAAATAAACCAACCCTTCATGATCCGAAATAATATCATATTACCAGCATGTTTGCACTCTTTGGCCCCATGAGGGATTGCGGGGTCACTGGGTTTCTCGATTTAGATCCCCCTGGGCCAAATAAGTGTTCAAATATCATCGTCTCATGCCGCTTCTATGAAACGCAGAGAAATGGATTTTGAGCTAAGACTCTGCAATTCCATAAAGGAGCATGAGCAAAGAATTTAGAAGCCGAGCAGAAAACTTTTGATTTTGTGCAGCAGCAGCTTGTTGTTGTTGTTTAGTCGTGTCCGACTCTTCGTGACCCCATGGACCAGAGCACACCAGGCACTCCTGTCTTCCACTGCCTCCCGCAGTTTGGTCAAACTCATGCTGGTAGCTTTGAAAGCACTGTCCAACCATCTCGTCCTTTGTCGTCCCCTTCTCCTTGTGCCCTCCATCTTTCCCAACATCAGGGTCTTTTCCAGGGAGTCTTCTCTTCTCATGAGGTGGCCAAAGTCTTGGAGCCTCAGCTTCAGGATCTGTCCTTCCAGTGAGCACTCAGGGCTGACTTCCTTCAGAATGGAGAGGTTTGATCTTCTTGCAGTCCATGGGACTCTCAAGAGTCTCCTCCAGCACCAGAATTCAAAAGCATCAATTCTTCGGCGATCAGCCGCCTTATGCCGGTTAAATAACTTGTTTGGATTCTGTGCTACCCACCACACAGCAACATCTAAAGCACAAGCATAGCTGCCAGAGGGGGGAAGAGAGGGAACGTCATAACAGCAGCTGTTCCCACTGCATTCCTAGCAATTCTGTCACCAACCACCAGCCATAAGGCCATTCACTGACAACGCCCCTACATTTACCCATCCACGGAGGGTACAAATAACATGAAGCAATGGCAGGAACGCTTCTCTGTCAAACAGAAACTGAATCCGATCTATACTTTCTTCCATCCACGATGCAAGGTGTGCTGCTACAAAGATCCCACACTGGTTCCTAGTAGACCTGAAGGAGCATCTCCACCCCCATCGTCCAGCCCAGACACTGAGGTCCAACTCCGAGGGCCTTCTGGCGGTTCCCTCACTGTGAGAAGTGAA